TGCCGCGGAAAAAAATAGACACAACTGCAGTAACTGGCCCCCAAACTGGTACTTATGCTGCGAAGTCCATTTGAGGAACGGACCCTGTGTTGGTTTACATTTTCATGATTGCGCTTACAGCAGGGTTTTGGAAGTCAATCGTCCTCAACCGGGCTGTCCACTTCCCTTAGTAGGGCTAGGTCTATCGGGGCTGTCTCCCTATGGCGGACTGTCAGGTGTCTATTTTGCGACCATTTCTAGAAAGGATACCTGTGGCAACCCTCTTGTTCAGGGTGTTTGTTTTAAAGACACACAGGCCAGCATCGATCAGCCCTAGTTTCATGGCCCAACCTTCCCCCAAACGAAGTGGGAATGTCTCCTGTTGGTCAATGGTCTATTCATCGAAGAGTTTCCTACCTGTTTCCCTTTAAGGCCTTTGCCTTGGTAACCACATCTGTGCCTCAAAAATCCACACTTGACGCTCTGGTCCATGTTTAAAGTCTACCCTCAAACCGAAAGCGTGTGTGGGTGTCTGAAAGGGACACCCAAGGGAAAACCACCACGTGTTCTTTTTGCGTTTCTTTCTTTTGGGGGGGTTTTCAAAGAGAGGGGTGCGCTGTGGGCCCTAGTGTTTTCCATGTATGCAGGTTGCTTTTTGCAACCACCCTTCTGTTTTCAACAGACGCACCCAAGTATCTTCCGGTATCTTTTGGGCATCGGAGACCCCAGGCACTGCCGGGGCGCGGACTTCGAGGCCGGTACTTCTGACCTAGGCCGGTCAAACGCGGGGCGGTCCTTGGCTTCATGACCCGTCAACAAAAACGGGAAACGCTGAAGGATCCGGACGGCTGGTGGTTCACCAAGCTAGGGAAACCCACCCCTTCCGAAAACTCACTTCCGAACGAGTAGATTGGCGAAAGCAAATTATAAGCTTCTTGGTTACCACCCAAATGGTCTTCGGAACTCAGGAAGAGATGAACAACCAAGTGGGCTTACACAAATCAACCTTGGGCTTCTTAATCAACCAGCAACGGAAACTGGCAAAACACGCCACCTTGGCTTCAGGCGCTCCTGAAAAAATACCGAGCATTTCCTGATCGCCCCATGGCACTGTGCCACTGAAGTTACTTCTTTCCCAAGAACTCGGAAAGTTGACCTGCGGGCCTTTTTCGGATGATCGTCTTTGAACACCCCAGCTTATAAATTTATAAAGCTGGTTGTTTCATTGGGCGGCTTTTGGGTGGAGAGCGACCGATCAGTGAGGCTCAAAGACTTGAACATCAAACACAAACACGGAAGAAGGGATGGGGAATGGGTTCGGAGAGCGCGCATTCTGCTCATTTTAAGGCTAGCTTTGCCCGGGGTCACCCAAACTGGTTCTGTTCAAGTTTCCTCCTCAAAACTACCTTGGTAGCTTGAAACTTGCCGGGTTTCAGCGGGAATGAGGGAATGATCCCTACAAATAATCCCCCATGGCTTCCTTTAAGGGAAACCCGAGGTTCATTCCCAACACCCGGACTCGGTCATTCCCCACCTATCGCACCAGCAAGGCTTCTTGGAACGGAGCCACTTTGTTCGAGCCAAATGCCAGACCTCCGTAAGAGCACAGCTGCCAGAAAGAAACAACCAGCAACCAGGGGCACTTGAAACCGCCGAAGCGGAAAACGGGCCTCCTGTACTGAGAAAGTGAAACACTGGTCCTGAGAAAACATGTGTGCATGTGTCAAATACAAGTTGAACGAAGACCTCTCCAAAGGACCTGGAAATGAAAGGTCAACCTTCTGGGACCAGTCTCAAAATGCGTGCTTGTTATTTTTTGACGGTACCCTTTTGGGGGTTGGTTTAAGGGGACACTGAAAGAAAGGAAGCATTCTTTTGGGTACCCCTTTGTGACACATACCCAAATGGACCATAGGAAACAAATGAAAGGTTACATCCGTTCGAACATTTAAGCATCGAAGAGGACTCATTCCATCAGAGGTGGGTATGCAAAAAATGTTGGACAGTTCTCGGATTAACAGCTCGATTCGCTGGCCGAAGTCTTGGCTGCTTTTGACCCCTCCCGCAAACAGTTTCAGTTAAGACTCAAAAACCGTTACCATAAAGTGAGTGCGGGTCTTGGCCGTTGGGGATGCAGCAGAGAGGGTGATGCGGATGTCCCGCTTCACAGCACGGAGCCACATCTGCAACGCCACGTCCAGACCTAAGCGAAGCCCAGCTGAGTGGGCCGGAGGTTGGGCTCGAGTAATTTTTTTGCAACAAGGGGCGGTTTTTTGGGTTCAGGTCAGAATTCCAAGACCAGGGCCTGATTGGAAAGCCCAAGCTCAACCCTTGCTCCCAACAAAACAAAGCACATTTGTTGTGACTCTGGGTCGTACTGCCAACATTGGCTCCGAAAAAGCCATGTTGAGAGTCTGCCACTTGCGTTTTCAGATTCACATGGAAACAACGAAGTCCTTAAAGACCCACCCATTTCTAGGGAAACCCCCCAATTTGTGGGGACCCCCCGCACCCCCCCGCGTTTTTGGGCTTGGACCGGGCCACTCCCTGAGGAGCCGGCCCAAAGCCTTGCGCCGGCGCTGGAAGTCGCATGCCACGCAGGGAGGTGAGTCGAACCTCGGCTCGCGAGGTTCGCGCTCGGTGGGCTCGCCTGGTTTTTCCCGAAGGTGGCGGATTCCTAGTTACTGGTGGGTGGGTGTCTTGAAAAATAGGGGGCCACCCCAAAAAGGAGAGCCGGCGCCCTTTTGGTTTCCCAGCAAAAAAAAACACTCCGCGACAAGGTGGGGTGCCCAAAAAGACATGCCATGTGGGCATAGGTGTTCTTTTGGACACATAGATGGGCTTCCCGGTAAATGGATGGCGTAAACAGTGGAACCCAGCTACATCTAAACAAATAAACTTAAAAAGGACACCTATGCTGGTGATGGCGCCAAAACAAATCTGATCCAGTGCAACCCGGCGAAATCTAACTAAAGCAACTGAAAAAGGACACCGATGCTGGTGGGTGAGTGTGTCTTAAATTGGGGGACCCCCCAAAAAAAAGGATGGGGCTTCCGTTTGGTTTCCCTATAAAAACCCGCCCCAAAAAGGGTCTCAACAAGAAGGACACCTGGTGGCTGGCATTGAAGCCTCCTTAGGTCAGTATGGAAATTGAGGGACCCTAGTTTGAGGGTCTCCTTTTTTGCTTTCCTCCCTTTGCTGAAGTCCCCTGCGGGGGAAAAAAGTAATATTTCCAGTAGTGATAGATTCCCTTCAAAACCGACAGAGAATAAATGACACATCTTAAGCAAATGGACGCGGACATTGATGGACCCCTCTCTCCGCGTCTCCGGGACTCCGGGTCCAGCGGGTCGCACTTGCCTTGTTTGAGTGCACGCTTTTGTGTGGCAAACCAGGGGAAACCAAAAGGAACGCCACCAGTTTGGACATAAATCAGGCAACCAGCCGGATGCTCAGGATGTTCGGCAGGCAGTCCTTTTTTGTTCTTTTTCGTCTCGGGAACTTCCTGTGGAACCTCCTGCCGGTTTCTATGAATGGCAGCAACTTCTGTTCTTTGCAGCCCCCACTAAAAGGGAACAACACCAAGAACACAACGAAAAAGCCGCGTCAACAATAGTGAAGACTGGGGCTCTTTCCATTTGGCAGGCTGTGATTCCTTTCTCTTGGCCAAACAGATCCGACCCAAGCGATGACAACTGTCTAATTAAAAAGGCAAAAGGAGAACCCAAAGGGCAAAAGGCATAGTTTCCAAAACCTCAAACCACTATCGGGGCCCAGGGTTTTCATGGAATATGTGCCTGGATTGAAAGCAACGAAACTGCAGAGCTTCCTGCACAGCTTCTTGCGGACTTTCTTCAAAGGGAAACGATTATGAAGATGTCCGATGATTAAAACGAGTCCTTCACCCATTTTGACTCAAACCCATTGGCCACGCGGCTCAGTCACAGCTGCGCGGCTCAGCAATTGAGGATCGGGACCCGCTCACCAAGGTTGGGTCACATCATTCAAACATAGCGTTCATTGTTCAAGCACTTAGCAGCCTCCCTTTGGCTTCCCTTTAAAGTAGGCCACTGGTTGCTTCAAAATGCCACATGCACCAAGGATGGGGATGCCGGCCGAGGAGCGCAAGCCGCACATCTTTTTGCTCCTACCCCCGTCGTCTTATGGCACGAATTCATGTACAGCGTGGCTTCTCGAAAGGCAAAGCAGGCCTTGTCAGCTTCCATTTGGGGAGTGGTTTGCAGGCGCACAGTCATGATAAACACAAACATTGCAAGCCACATAGCCACAACTAGGTCCTACCGCTACATGAAACATTGTCTCTCTTCCATACACGAGATCTGGATCCACGTTGGGATTCAGTGCTGGCACACTGCGCGAACCTGGGTCGGTCCAACTTACCCCTCTATCAAACATGTGTAAGCGGACAAGGCCAAAGCGCAACGGAGAAGGGACGAACCAAAGGACATCCCAAAGGATACCCTCCCAACCACTAACACGGCACCCCAAGGGAAAACCCAAGGAACATGGCCTTGTATCCCTGCAGGATCCAGCTGCGCTAAGTCCAGCCTGGTATGTTGGCATGCAAATTTCTTGTTTGCACCCCTCCAGAAATGAAGAGAACCAAACAAACACAAAAAACGCGAAGACAAATGCGAAGAACGGGTGGCGCATAGGTAGCATCAAGGCGCAACCAAGGAGCTCATGGACTCATCCTGACCTGAGCGCACTGGCCAGAACCACTTTTTGGGTCACGGCTAAAATGATGAAGAACTCGGCCAACAACATGTTTTAAGTGTGCCATCTGAACAGGCAAGCATCAAACACAAACTCAAAGGAAAGCCTTGGCTTGCTCTGTTTACCACGTTAGGTAACAAACCCCCCAACAGATTCAAGTCCGCCAGCCGGGAAGTGGGCCGTACCAACAACCCCAACGGGGTGGAGCCAAACAAAGGGCTTGTGTGAGTGAAGCCGTGGGTGTTCTGAAAGCCGAGAAGCTCATGAAGTCTCTGGGTGAGGCGTTAGCTCTGGTAGAGCTCCAGGTAGTTGATGGGTAGCCAGCCAGGCAGCCCAACCTCCTCCATGGACTTGTCCAATAGGATCCCCCCGGCCCAGCCGGAGGGGACCTGGTTGGCTTTCTTTTTTTCTTTTTTCTTTTTTCGGCGAGGCGAGGTTGAAAGAAACGGAGGGAACCATTGGGCAAGCCAAACTTTTTTTCTTCAACCCCCGCTGCGCTTCCTTTTGCTTTTTGGGGGGGGGGAGGGCTTGAACAACTGCATTAAACAAGCACACCCCTGTTGTGAAAGGGAAGCCAAGCACATCCATCCCCTTTTATGTTTTCGTGCAGGGGAAGTCAAAGACATCTGGGTGCGGTTCAAAATGGATGACACAAAAATGGGTGGCTCCCTTGCAGTTTTACTTCAAACGCAGACTAGAAAGCGCACCAATTCAAGCAAGGACACACACACACACCAGTGCACAACAGTAGACGGCACAATTCCCATGTTACAATGTCGGTAAGTAAAGCGGTTGGTGCAAAACACATGAGGGAATTCCGCCATCTACTCAACTGCAAGGCGGCTGCTTTAAAGACTGCAAGTAGGGGGAACAAGGGGGAACCTTGCAACTTCCCGCAAATTGTCGGGGTTTCGTAATGTGGGTTCGCTCTCTTGCAGCTATTTTCGGAGATCCGCCGTGCCCATCCCAGGTTTTTCAGATTCAGGAACGGTCCGATAGATCTTGACAATGTCATGGGCAGCCACTCGCAGCATCTTCGGATCCTCGCCCTCAAAGTCGTACTTCACGACGCACACGTCATCCTGGGAATGTGCCGCAGCTGAACCGACTCTGGCCCAGTGTGCTTTGCTATGTCGAGTCTATTTAGTGGGTTTCTCCCAATGGTCATGCCAGGTAAACGACCTTTTGATCAACCGCCATGTCAATCAAGATCTGAATTGTCCAAGTACGTTTTCTTTTGCACAGCAGCCTTGCCCAAACCTGGAAATGACGGGTTCGCATTTTTAAACCCTGACTAAACCGTTGAGGAAACGAACACGCCAACTGTTTTCGCTTTGGTCCCATAGAACTGGAAAGCACCCTAATTACACATGCTCGATGGATGTAAACTACGCATTGACATGCAACTCCAAGTCCAACACTGATTCAGAGACACGGCAGTGGGGAGCCGAAGGACGTCTGTAATCCTTAATGGTCCCAAATGGCAACCAACCGTCACTATTAGGCTGCAACGTTTGCCATGGCTCTGAAGGTATAGGACAATGGTCCCCAAAACCGAGAATTTTCGGAAACGTTTGCTGGGTTCGTCGTGCTGGGCCGCGTCTGTTTGGCAACAAATGCGGGCATACAATCTGTATTTGCCACTATAGCAGTGGTGTGAGTGCCGCAATCCATGGAGCACCTACCTTGGTATTTTTGCCTGGTGAGTGGAAAACAAAGGGGACCCCAAAAAATCAAAAATCTAAAAGGGGAGCTAAGTCCGGTGAAGCTAAAAAGGGGAAACGCTTCGCGCACTCCCTCGTCCTTGTTCGTCACGGGGGACAGCAAAAGGAACCAGCGGCAGATTCCGGCCCCACCCCCCCAGTGAAATGTGGGAATGTGGGAACTGCGCTGCCTCAAACGGAAACCCCCACTGAACTAACTAAAAGCCCTCAAACCTGGGGAACCGGACGACAACTAAAAACCTGAAACCTAGGGAACCGGACGACTGGGAACCACCACCGTTCGCCAGGGCACTTCGCTGAAGGCACTTCTGTCGCCGTTTCCCTTGGTGGGAACAGGCATCGACATCGCCCGGCTGGATGGCCTCGGCTCGAACTGGCCGCCTTTGGTTTGAACGGTGCTACATTTTCTCAGTGGCCAGGGGAAACAAGGGCATCCTATTTTTGGTTGGTTGAGTTTAAAGGGCAAGCACAAAAAGGGGGGAAAAAGGGCAGCGCTGGGCAACTGGGCCCCCTACATGGGGCGTGTTGGGTTTTCGGTTTGTCAGCCCAGTTCAGGCAGTGAAATGGGACAGTAAGGAACAAGAGGGCCATTGCTTTTGGGTTGACCTGTTACCGAGAAGGTCATCCACCCCATTTCAGGCGGTGACGTATGCGTGGAATCGAGAAGGTTGCACCCACTGAGCTCAAAGAAGCTCCCTCCAGGTGCCAGTTGTGATGGATGCCGCCCCCCTCCCCCCCCCCAAAAAAAGCGAGATTGCTAAACCACCTACGGTTGGCCCTAAATATTGCAAGTAGGGAATGGTTTGTGGTGGATTTGCTTGCAATATTCAGGGTATCCACCGTACCAACTCGTGCAGGATTTTTGCAACATGGTTTAAGCCCTTTTAAGCGTATTTCGGTGCCAAAAACAGGCAATGGACCCTGAAACGGTTGAAACACAGACTGCCCCTGGCAAATTCGCCTTAACAGGAGCACCCACAAAACACAAATAACAACGTCAAAGAAAACCCTTGGATTGAATCTTGCGGCCGGCCAACCTGAACCACTCGTTTTGAGGCCCCCAGATCTTTAGTGGATTTCCACGGACAAAAGCCTTTGCGCCTTTTCGCGGCTTGGTTTCAAAGGGAACTCCTCCCTTGAACAAAAAAAGGACAACAAAAAGCACACGCCACCCAACCGGGGTTAGCCCAGGCGTTTTACCCCTTGAGGACACCCCGACTCGGTTTGTGTCGCAACCACGGCGTCGCGCGCGCGTGCTCGCGCGCGCGCCTCATCTTGGAGCCGACGGGGCACACCTTGCAATGCGCCGCGTACTGCGGCAAGTCTCCCTGCCAATCGCAGGTCTCGCCGAAGTCCGCGAGCTCCGGGTGGAAGGCGCACTTGATCCTCGGCAACTAAAACCCAGACCAGGAAACTGAAGGGAAACCGAAAGGTTTTGACCAAAACAAAACCAAGGTCTGAGAGGCAAATCAAAGGAAACCCAAAAACTATCTGTTGCTCATTCTAGAAGCAAACCCAGAAGCAAACCCAAAAACAAACCTTGAAGTTTTAAAAGGTAATGCCATTTGCTCATTTGCTGCCGTTTTGTGGAACTATTGTGTGATCCTTGCCAACAAACCCAGCCAGATGCACAACCAAGGGTATGGTTTCTCACAACTCACAACCTACCTATCTGGTGCAAACATCAGGTTCCCCTTGGTTGGTGGTTTGCATTGGTGGAGATTTGTTCCGTTCTTGTAGATGGTAAATGGGACGCCACTCCAAAAAATCTCCAAACCGCCAATCCAAACCACCCTCTTCCCCTGGTAGGGTTGTGGAACACTGTCTTCCAGGACTCCTGTCAGGTCCTATGTTGCATTGGTGGGAGGGTAACCTAAAAGGGACACCTATGGCAAGGAGTTACTACCATTTGCTTTAAGTCCCTATGGGGAAAAAACACATAAAAGTCCTTCCAGTGACAAAACCAAGAGGGGCCAATAAACAAATAATATAAATAAATATGTAAACAAATAAATACGAGTACATAAACAAATAAATCAATAACAAAATATCCATTTCAGCAAATGGGGCAGGTTACCTACGGCAAGGAGGCAAGAAGCTGGACAACTCGCTCACTCGTCTCCGGAGCTGAGGCGCCGAATGGCCTGCCACCTCCGCTGCATCACCGCAGCCGCCGGGTGCTTGGCGCGATGCAGGGGGACCACGTCCGCCTTGCGACCCACGCGACCCATGCGACCCCTGCGACCCCTGCGAAAACTGCGACCCAGTCAAAGGGCAGCCAGTGGACAGTGGTGGAAATCACGTGAGCAAACAGCCATGGGACGTTGCTTTTGTTTTTCCACTTGGCGTATTTTAAACAGCTTGCCAATTGGTTTGGAGCCCGGTGGTTTGGTAAGGGCCGGGTTCCTATTGTACCTGAACAATGTGGACAAAGCAGGTCTCCCAAATGGCAAGTAGCTTCTCCCAAAATCTTGTCAGCTATGGAGGGGAAAATCTCCAAGACCTCCAAGTCGATGGGTTGCCTTCGGATGGTACGTGACCTGGAAACCGTTTTTTGGAGCCCGCTTAGGGCCCCATGAAATTAGTTATTTTTTGTTCTTTCTTTTTTTATACATCATGATGGGGCGTGAAGCTCTGATTCCACCTGAACACTAACCCCCACCAATGCATTGTTTCTGAATTTTGATTTTGCCGAAGCAAGAATCTTTGTGTTCGGGGCCCCACTAAAATGGCAGTTGCCTCTGGTCTGGCGGAAAAGGTCATTTGTTCAAACGCCAAAGCAAGTGTCTCCAGGCTCCTTTGAGTGACTTAGAGCTCGTCCCCCCCCCCTCCTGCCCAAATGAACCATAAACGAAACAATAACTGTTGACCGAACCATGTGAGCACCTATTGGATAGGTTCTGCTGTACCCTCTTACTAAGCCAGGTAGAACCACCTGCTAGAATTGCCAACGCACTAGGGCGATGCTCTGCACCATAAGTTCTATGCATGAGGTAGCCAGTTCAACCTTTGCAGCTTGTTGGAGCTGCTGTCATCTCCCTTCCTAAGTGGATTGGCCAAACACCAAGCCCAAACTTTTTCTTTGCCAATCAAATGGCACTCAACCTGCAGTGTCCAAAGTCCGAGCGGAACTCAAGTGAGTCATGCACCCCCGTGAAAGCCCAACCACAAACACCCACCGAGCCATAGGTGACCTTTTGGAGAAATAGATGGCCCTGGTAAATGGAATAAACCCCATCTAAACCAGGGATCGCCCTCTATTTCTTAAGCCAACCAAAAAAAGGGACACCGACAATTTTTCACCGAACAGGAGACACGAAGACTCGCCCAAAAATCCTCGCGAAAATCCTCGCGACCTCGGGTTCGGGCGCCTTCTTCAGGGCCTTGTCGCACACGGGGCAGGGCATGGCCTGCATCGACTCGGTGGCCTCTGGGCCGCTGGAGTGCTCACTCACCTTCTCCACCACCCAGGACCTGATCTGATCCGAATCCGAACTCCGAATCGGATCCAACGAAGCCGACCTGATCTGATCCGAATCCGAATCGGATCCAACGGTTCGAGCCGTTTGGATCCGAGTCAAGCAGAATCCGAAAGAGAATCCCCAAAGAGAGTCGGATCGAACAGTTCGTCCAGCCGGTGACTGCCAGTCGATCAGTTTCTGTATGGTCACACCAAGTTTGTGCATCATCCTTTTGGCCGAATTGAAAAGTTGGCCCAGAAGGGACCTTTAAAGTCCAGAAACTCGGGAGGTGAGTCGGGAACCAGAGTTTTATTCGATGGTTTCCTCCTGGCATCGGGACCTCGAAAGCTTCGCAAACGGGTTGGGCAAAGTTTGCTTACACGAAGGACAGAACCCAAGGGTCCACTTGCGCACAGACCTTCGCCCATGTAACTTCCGCAAAGTTACACACATTCGCGTCTTTCACAGGCCCAAAGGTTGGCAATGGTCGTGAAGGTTTGCCCACCGAAATGGGAGAATTGTTTCGTTGGACCCAAGGTGACGGGAAGTGGCCTGGGCATAGGGTGATGGGGTGGTGGTGCGGGGGGGTTCGCATTTCGTTCAGTCCAACCGCAAAAGCAAGAGTGCTTGTATAATGTTTAATTGTATTCTAGTGTATTCTATTGGATTTCTAGGATGCTACACACATGAGGGCTGGTTGGTGGGAACCCTTTGTTGCTCCTTGAACGGCCTGAGGACACCGCTGGAAGCAGGGGCTGCAAAAGAGATGGGAACACCTGGTGAGCGTCGGGTAGTGCACCACGCCCCGGCAGAGGTAGCACACGAACCTCGAGCGGACATCCAGCGCTGACATGTGGCCTGTGCAGGGCATCCGGAGAACCCATAACTTTCAAGCGCTCCATGGGTGGCATGTTTTTTTTGTTTTTTTTGGGGGGGGGGGTTGAAGAGAAGATACATCTGCCAGGGTTTTTCGGTTACTCTCAACCCGGGCGCAAGGGCGGACAATCTGCCAAATCTGGGGTCCTAAAACGTTTGCAGACTCTGGTCCATCATTGGTCTACCCTGAAAAAGATACGGCGTACTGTTGGAGGAGGTCTTAAAGACATGTTAACCTCAGATAAATCCGGGTTCTCACAAATTAGGCGGACCCCAAATTTTGGTTGGCTTCTTGTTGGTTTCCTCTTGAACCCCTCCAACAAGAAAAACAACAAAAACGACCACGGGGTGCACAAAAACCGACCGAAGCAAGCCATCAGCAGCCTAGGAGCTCCTGAGATCCTTCGACATCCAAAAGCTGATGCACCTGGACCTGCGGCTTCCGACTCTCCCGCGGTTTGGGCGCCGAGGCCTCCTTCGCGGCGACATGGGCTGCCTGGGACCAAAAAGGGCCGGAAGTGCTCAAACTTGTGAGGTCCACCAGAACCAGCAAGCAGCTTTTGGGGGACTTGCCACTCGAGTTGCCGTTTTCCCCCCCCCCCCCCCCGTTTTTTGGGCTGAAGTCCGAGGAGAATTCAGGAGCGAGGTGCTACTTGGCACCAAAAAAGACGCCCAAAAGAAGCGAAGGACTTGAAGCCCGAAGGCTTAAGCTCACCCTACACCTGGCTTGCTTTGGTGGGGGGGGGCCATTTGCCAATCCAACGTGCCCTGAAATCGGATCTGGGAAAAAACATGTGGAGCCCCAGGATGGAGTAGACAGTGCGACCATCTAAAATCCCGGTGCAACTAAAGTGATAAAGAGGGTTGATTCCATGTTTCGTGGGGAACAGCGCAAGAAAATGGAGGGTTCCACTGAACGAAAAGGGATTCAGGGAGCTCCACTGAACCAACATGGTACTCACAATGTATCATCGATTTGGGAAGGGGATGGATTGTCAAGCTTTTCTTTTTCTGGGATGCTGGGGGGTGAGTTGGTGCTGGTCATTGGTCTGCAAATTCTACCTCTCCAAAACCTGAAATAAGACTCGGATCCCCGAAAGGACCTGCATCATGGCTCGCCGGTCTGACGGTCTGACCCCCTCTTGTGAGCTCACCACGCTGGTTGGTTTCTCTTCTGCTCTCGGCTCTCAGGGCGGGGTGGTTCTTCCGAGCCGACGTGTGGGAAAACAAAGCGCAGGCGTGACAGCCTATAGCACATCCAACTCCTGAGTAACATAAGGTTCCCTGAAACAGAACTACCTCAGGTGTTGGCTCCCTACCTACCTCAGGTGTTGGCTTCCTACCCTCCCCCGCCCCCGCAACCAAAAAAAGGATCTTTGAAATTTGATTCTGGTCCATAGCTCGTGACCCCCGAAAAGTACGGAGTCGATCTCGAGATCTGCCAAAATAAGGTTTTCCTCAGGGATCCTTTCAAGGAGCCTGCTGAAAAATGGGCCGGGCGCCGTCCGTCGGATGGATTTCAAGGTGGACATGTTTGATTTCTGTGATACCAACGTGGGCCTCGACTTTCAATTGATCCCGAAGTACGGTGGATGGTTGCGAAATCCATTTCTCATCACTTTGATTTTATGGGAAGCCATTGGGTTTTTACAGGGGAATCGGATCATTCAAAGGTTTCTTAGGTGGTGCGAAATGGATCTCGTCCATCCACAGTATCACAGAACCCCATCCGAGGGGAGGAAGAGCGGTGGGCTTTCTTTTGGTTTCCTTAGAACGCTTCAGGGAACCCCGCCGCACGGACCACCCCCCCGAAAACCCACTTTCCCACAACCATGGGTGACCCCTTTCGAGAAAAAGGGGACCTCTTTGCGAATGATGGGACCCACCTTTTGTTTAAGTCCCCTGGAAAGAATAGAAGCATACTTCCTGTAGTGATAGACTTCCTAATAGACTTCCTTAAAAACCACCACAGAGGGGCAAATAACACATTCGGCAAACTTAGTAGTTGTTGGTAACTTGAGCTCGTGACTGTTGCCTAAGAGCAGTTCGCCTGGTTGTAAACTGGTTATGACCTATGCTAACCACTTACTAACCTGGCCGAACACCCGAGTAAGCAAATGGAAGCCATGGACTCGGCCGAGGCGCTTCGCTTTTCCCGGCCTTTCCCTTGGACTTCCCCTTCTGGCGGTCCAAGTCATCCCGAAACTGCCGCAGCATTTGCCGCGGCAGATTCGGGGAATCCCTCCTGAAAGGTGGCCCCCCCCAAAAGACACATGTGCAGGGGTCACTGGATTTCCCCAAATCAATCGTTGATCAAAAGACTGGTGGTTTCCATTGAAACGATCGCCACTGTTGGCAGCTCCCTTTAGAAGGGAAGCGGCTCGGAAACCTTTCTGCCTGGGAGCTCCTGACCCGCGAATCAAGGGGAAGCGTAGCTTGGGGCCGTGTGTCACGTTTCACTCCCCCTGCGGAACATGGAACAAACAACAATCCATGTTTGGAGGAATCCGTTGGCAAATGGACTCCCTTTTTTGGCCCCTTCCCACGTTGCCGCCCCTCCACTAAAAATGTATAGAACCAACAAACCTACATACAGATCTAAAAACGTGCCAACAACAGCGAAGGGCCCCATATGAATTCACCTTGGGCGGCTTGCTTTAGCTGCGAGACGAAGTGAGACTTTCTTCGCGAAAACCCGTACGCGGGTCAGCTTGAAATGGTTGCAATCAGAAGGGGACGGATGTTTTCAGTTTTCTCCCACTCTCAAAAGGAACCGTAAAGGCTTTATGTGGCCCAATCCAGCCCAATGTTCAGACGGCCTGACAGCTTCCATTGGGTTGTGCCTTTTGAGTTGGAAAAAGCGCAGGCAGTGCTGTTGGCAGTCTACTGGTCTTCCTTGCCCAGTTTGGACCCAAACACAGCTCAGGTGATCACCTTTTGAGTGACTAAACATGGTACCACACAGGGGAAACCAAGAAGTGAGAAGGTCGGCTTTGGGCAAGTGAGTGTGTGTTAGTGGCTTGGGGGTAACGATCGATTTCTTACACCATATAGACTTGGGGCTGGCTGCCCAACCACACCCCCCAGCCAGCTTTTGAATATTTTCTCAAGCGCAGATGTTCAGTCCCAAGGCGAGATGAAGAAGAAGAAGAAGAAGAAGAAGAAGAAGAAGAAGAAGAAGAAGAAGAAGAAGAAGAAGAAGAAGAAGAAGACGCAGTCCCCTTTCCAGCAAACCTGTCTAGATACACACACACACACACGTGTGTCTTGCTTTTTTAGGGGGCCCGGGACAGTTTCCGCTTGGTTTCCCGAAACCAAAAAGGTTGGGGGTACCCTCAGACGCCTCCGGGTCCCCCGTCCTGGCCGGCATATCCTGATTGGACTCCACGGCGTTGAGTCGTTGCAGGCAGAAGTGGGGCAAATGCACCCGGCACTTCCGTGCGCAAACCCGGGCCGTGCAGGCCTGATCCGACATGGAGCGGCCAAGCAAACAACTAAAACCCCCCTCCACTTGTTGAGGGGTTGTACTTAGCTTATTGGAGTTGGGAATTCATCTCCACTTCTTGCCACTTACTTGTCACTTGATTTACTGTTGTACTACTTTTGCTATGTATATCTTATTGTTATTACTTTTCTTAAGGGTCTGTGTTTGGTGAGCCTTGTTTTCTTCCAGGGATGGCGGCTTATGAGTCAGAGATAGACGTTAACCATAGACTAAACCACCCAACCGTTGCGCTAAAACCCGACCGGGACCCAAACAAGGCCCAGCTGAGAAAAGACACAAACCCACCCAGGAAATGGACCTGGTGTGGATGGTTGCAAAGATCATTTCGGACCACATAAGAAACCATGATTGAAACCGTTTTCGCTGGTATTTATCATGGAATCCAACATCTACAGTAGGGGTTGGTTGTTGAACCGCTGCAACTGAAACCCTGGCCTTCGGGTCTATCCGCCGGCACACGCTGTGCTCTGCTTGTAGTCCTGAGTGCGTGCAACATGTTGGATGTTGCAACCGTAGAAAGAGCGAAATAGAGAACCATCTCTTTTTGGGGTTCATTCCATTTCTAGCCAACCACATGGATTTAGAGGATGCCAACCACTCAAGAGATAGTTGAATCTTGGATGTTGTTCAGATGTCAACCGGGAGAACCCGAAAATGGCCATGTTTCCCTTCGCCCCGAACTCGACAAAAACCCTTCGGTTCCAACATCGCACGCAACTTCCTTTGGGCCCAACGAAAGGGGTCCATGGGACCCCAAGATCGCCGGCTCGCCGGCAACGAAGGTTCTCCGCGGACCCCGCGCTCTTCGACAGATCCGAACACCCCACACACACACACACACTCGCCTAGAGCGCCAACACAAGGAATACTTTGAAGCAACACGCTTTTCTTGGAACCTGCATAACGGAAACGACGGAATGCCCAAACATTCGCACACTCATCAATGTGGAACCAGGAGCCGCTGCTCGACTTCCCAAGCCACCATGCAAGACAAGCACAGATTCCGGCTGCTTGCTGAGCGTTGTGAATTGGAGGGATAACGTTTGGGAGATTTGTTTTGGGTTCCATGTGTAGTTGCAGGGGAGTAAGGCTCCATCCCATAACAAGGACACCCGCTCAAAGCTGGAGAAACGTGCTGCAAGAAAACCCAGGTATACTGTGGTGCACCTTTTACGTGCCCTAAGATGCCCTATGAACTTGTTTGCCTCATTGTATATGGTGGTGTCTGTTTTAAGGGAGCCCCAAATGCTGGCTGTTTTTGGTGGCTTCCCTTTAAAACAATACACAAACGGGGTAGCCTCAAAACAGACCTTTTTACAACGGGTTCTTGGATTTGTTCATTTTCCGAATGCACTTCGTCTTTCAGCAAACAATTCCCTGCAGCCTCCCAAGAGAAACAAGGAGACCCTGCTTTCTGATGGAGGTCAAAAAATAGGCTCAGGGTTGGCAAAGGACCCCCCAAAGAAAAATCAAGCAACCCTAAATACACTCAATGCGAAGCTACCTTCCCCCATGAAAAAAAAGAAGTGGACAGAAGGAGTGAAACTCAATAAAATAGGTCAACGGAGAAACAAACACACTACCATGGAAGGTGCCTTCTTTTCCTTAGCCTTGGCTCCCTGGCAATGTTTTGTGCTGGATGCGGGCATTTTCAGTGAAGCTGAACATGTAAAACCATATCTTCAGAAGTCCGGGCGCCAAGTCTAAGACCACAACTCCTTTTGGGATAGAACAATGCTTGCGGGTTGGCGCCGCATGAACGGTTGTTCTTGATTGCACTGCGAGAATCCACTTTTGGTTTCTCGGGGACACTTCCCCCCCCCTTCCGGGGATTCCTAAAAAGCAAGAGGGTTTGAGGGAGTTCCCTCTGTGAATCTCTCGAAAGTGCTCCTACAGTCTTGCAAGCAAAGTACCATTGAACATCGCTTGCACCAGGGCGAATTGCCCCGGCCGAGACGGTTGCCCTTTCCTCCACCACCACGGTTTCGATCGTTGCGGTGTCAGGTTCCATCAGAACCATGGGAAATGGAATCCACTGTGATACAAGAAGGTCCTCCCAAAGACCAACGCCCCCAGAAGAGAGGATTCCAACTTGTATCACGCTCATAAATATGTACCCAACATGGCACCTTGGTTTTTTAGCACCTGCTCCAAATCCCAGCGGCTTAATTTTGAGCCGGCCAGGTGGGGATCCAACCCCCGAGTGATCCCATGGGTCCCATGGGTCCCATGGCTTCGATCGAGGGTCTCTTGAAGACCGCCTCGGCATCCTCGATGTGGTTCTGCTCCAAACGCAGCCACAGGGGCACCTGGTCCTGCGACCGGACATGGAGCTATGGGAGCTTCCCTATGCTTCGGGGCCGCTTTTCTGAGCGGCTTCGCATCCGACGTCTCCTGCAACTTTAAGTAATGCACACAAAGAAACAACTCTAGAGAGTATGAGTTAATTACTAAAGGAGTACAGAACACACAATAACACAAAGAAAAACACATCCCCAATGTTTCCGGTCCGGCTCCTGGCCACTTTCGGAAGGGCCGGATGGAGCTGCACAAAAAATACGCTCGTGCTCGTTTTCTGGGTGCCCGAATGTAACAGATGCATCACCTGTGGTGGAAACTGGATCCTCTTCGGGTCAGAAGGTCAAATGTTGAGGTCTACCTGCCCAGGGGAAATACCAGAAGCCTTGAAACATGCCCCTCATGTTCTTTCCACCTCCCCTTTGAATCACCCATGCGATTTCTAACACCATTTGTGCAGCTAAAGGATGCAGGCGCGAGGATAGAGCGCCAGGGGTGGGGGGGGAAGCGGGTGGAATGAATTTCAAGTGGAAACCCTTTTTGTGAACATCATATTGATTCATTTCGACCAGGCTCTTTTGAGCAACCCTCCTACTTTCGACCTGAAATCTTCATCCCACTTACATGAAACTCACAACTCAAATTTGCCTTGTCACAGGTGATGTTGAAAACCCTAGGGATTTCTCACTCTCCCTGGAAAGTAATGAGTCAACACTCTCACTTGCACAGGGCTTGGGAATGATGGAAAGCTTGACTAGGCATGGGCCCACTGGACAAACCAAAAGCTACGGTTGATTCCAGCTAAGGGCAAGGATTGATTTCTACATGCCGACCTCACTTAACCTGCGGTTCCCTTACGATAAACTGGTCGAAGCTACATGTTACATTGTTTACTGCCTCTTTCGGTTTGATTTTCATGGGGCCAAGCTACCCACCCACTGCCCTTTGCCAGCCCAGCATCAAGCATTAGGACACCTCACTTCCGTGGATGGGTGAGAAACAGTTGACTTTGGACTTGCCAAGAAAGCGAACTTTCGCACACCAATTCGCCAACTGGGGATGTGGTCTTCCCTGGGGACGTGAGACTCTTCAACAGCTCACCTCGCACGTTTTATCTCGTCTGCCTGGCCTGGTCAGTATTCAATACACAACACGGATTTCTACGCGCAGTCCGAAGGTTGCAAAAATGGTGTGACTTGCTAAGGGCATCATATTCGGGCTTGCTCTGAATGGAGGCCAAAGGGACATGCACATGTGCACCACTGTTTGCGGACAAATCAAAAGACCCCGACTGATCCGTTATACATGCACATGGTTGCCATTGCGAAAGGGCTTGGTGACATCCCAAGCACCCCCCAAGATTGGACTTGAAGGAATCCACCCCCAAATTTTCAATTTTCAACATGCAGCCCTCTTTGAGGGACCCCCCCCCCTTTTTCTTGGACAAAAGTGGTTGAGTTCGAGCATCCACACGGAACCCACTTGTGGGACCCGGCCCCAGAGAAAGTTGATACACCCTCGGACGCCTCCCGGCGGGAGCTCTCAGCTGCTGTGATGATGCTGCTGGCGCCGGAGGCGGTGAACATGTTGTGGGAGAGGTGGATCTCCTCCCACCGAAAAAGATGCGCTTGGCTTGACATGGAACCCGTTGGAAGCCTTTGGGCCTTTTGGGGAAGCTTCTGGATGTGCTTTGTTTCTTCTTCTTCTTCTTTTGGCTTTTGAAACTGCTTTTGCCCACCCAAAACCTAAGCTTTCCCGCTTTTGCCGTAAGCATCCCTAAGCTCGACGCTTTTCATTGTTGTGATCTTCTAACTCTAACCTCTAGACCTTTTTCTGCGCCTGCCTGTTCAAACGCAGATTCCTTTTTCACTAAGCTCAACCCCCCAAACATGTGTGTGTGTGTGGGTTTGTTGTTGTTCTTGCTTTCTAGTTTGTCCGCGACAAAGAATTGTTGTCAATGATGAGACTTGTCAAAGACATGCCTGGCCCTAAACCCTCAACTTTTCTTTGGTACTTATGGCCCGTTCCTAACCCCTTAGCTTAATTGATGTCTTTTGCTTTGTTTCGCTGAACGCTAACCCCCAGACATGGCGGTTTGCGCCTCCTTTCTTAAACATCGCCGCCTAAAACTAAGAGTCAATTCCGGCGCCAATTTTGAGAAAAGCCTGGTACAACCAATAGGTTCGTCTGAGCTGCGGAAATGTGGGTGTCTCTTTAAATCGCGGATCCACGCGGATCCTCGAGGGTGGGGCAGTAGCGGCACAGCTCCGCGAGGCCCAACGCCCCGGAGTCGTCGATGGAATTCCTCGGGCGGCACTCCCCTGGCGTCCCCTTTTGGCGTTCCATGGGCCTTCCCTTGTCTGGGAAAACCAAGCTATCACCCCCGCTGGTGTCACTTTAGGGAAACTCATGAGTTACTTACCACTCAAATCTGACGAGCTGTTTAGGGAGCCCCTAAAAGGGGCCCACAAGCCAAGGAGTGGTGGCTACGGTGGCTCTTTGAATCGCATGGATCGAAGTCTCAGGAGTCCTTACAGGCGCCCCGAAGGTGGCCCGAAGGAAGCCCAGTTACGGAGCTGAGGGTATCCCAATTTGCCTGTAAAGAGGAAGTTGAGCTGGGAGAATGTTGAAGTCCGAGTGGTGAACCAAGTTGGCCATGTCTGAAACACCAGGATCCAACCAAATCCAACCAAATCTTACTGGCTCTCAGTTGGTGTCAGGAAAGGATTTCAAAAGGGGAGCCACGGCAACAGAAATTCTTGAGCAAGATTGAGCAAGGGTCAGTAAATCATGGAACCCCACCAGTACGTCAAAATGCACTGGCCTGTATTGCAGTCGATTCAGGCGATTCCAACTCCCTAGCAAGGGCAGAGCAAGCCCTCAGTACGTTCCAACAATTGCAGGTGACGAGTCCGAAGCCACCATGTCAGCCAGGCTCTTACCTGATGTGCTCTCTTACATGAACCACGCCAGGTTTGCGATTCCAATCCTGAATTCTTCGCCATGGCCAGAAGTTCCCAAGCCGACATTTGTGCGAAGCTCCCTCAAACTTTGGGCAAGGCCCACTTCGCCGGATGGCAGGTGTGGGCTCCGAGCAGGATTTCTTCCAAAAGGGGATCCATTTCGCGAGACCGCGAGACCGCATCAACTGAAACAACCGAAACATTGGGCCGCTAAAGACCTCGCCACATGGCCCCTGGAAACGGCGCCGCTGAAAAATACGTCTTACAGGCATGCAGATGTGTATACATAAAGACAAAGATATATGTAGCCTTTGTATGTATGTATGTGTGTATGCATGTGAATGCACATGTAAGTATCTATGTCTGTCTGTATGTATGCCTGCAAGTCTGCATGAGTGTCTGCATGAGTGTATGTGTGTATGTGCGGCTCTGAGTGTATACATGTGTGTACGTGTGCAAGTGTGTGTAGGCGTGTTTATATGCATGTATAAGTCTATATATATATATACATGTATGTATGTATACCTTTGTATATGTATGTATATTGATTACTTATGTATTCTGCATCAAGCATCATGTACATGCATATATGTACATGCATGACTGTGTATGTAGCACTCGCTCAGCAAATCATCGACAACCATTGCTTCCTTTTTAGTTGCTTATTTACTATTTTCTTTCATTTGTGTCTTTGCTGCCTTTATGGGCCGGATCCAACATTTTAACGGACCCAAGGAGAAGTGAACACACAGGACGTGATAATATCCTTTTACATATTCTTTTTGTTTGTGTTCTTCTTCTTTTCTTATTCCTTTCTTTACATGTTTATCTATCGTATAATTATTTTTCCTTTTCATCACACACATAGATGCCATTTCCTATGTACATGCGATTCATGTGTACATGTAGCTCTTTCTAGCATCAGTTCTTGTAAAACAAAACATAAGCCCAGGTGGTAGCCCCAACAGCCCCGGAAATGTCTGGAACCCCACGGAACCCTCCATGAAAGCTGCCCCTAAACCACCCCACAGCCTATCTGGGCAGAAACCCCTGCTGATGGGGCACAGCATGTTTTGCTTTCTTCCTGTCCCCCTTTCTTCCCAAATATGTATCTATTGAGCACTCACATCCTGAGTGGATTGGCCAGAAAACGTCCCAAACTTTTTGTCTACTGGTCCAAACCCAAAAAGAGTGATCTTTAGTCCATGAACTCAGGAAGTACGGCGACTGCCGGCGAATGCCGCGCCTTTTGGCTCACGTGTTTTTCTTCCTCTTTTTTCCGTTTTTCCACATTGTTACCGTTTCTTTTCCTTTTTTAATTAAAAACATAAAATATGTATATATATATATATATAAAATAACAAGGCGCTTGAAGAGCTTGAGCACACGGAGCCGGGGGCAGCGCATGCACACCTCCAGCACCTGCGGCAGCTCATGGGAGGTGAGCCCGTTGAAGGAGAAGTCCACCTAGCGGTGAAGGCGACTCGTCCGGCGGAATCCTTGGGTTTTGGCAAGTAAATGAACCAGACACCAGGAGGCTTTAGAGGAAACCCCCAGGTAAACATGGTAAGAATGTATATCAACCACACGCAAAAACACAAAACCATAGACAACTACAGTAGGTAACGGGGGTTTCCTTGTTCCCTTACTTGCAATATTTAGGGCATGCCTTAGTTTTTCTAAGTAAATCAACCAGAAACCATGGTTGAATCTCCAGGGTTTCCAACTTGTGTCCTTGCAATATTGAGTTGGCATGCACCGTCAGTTGCCCAGTTTCGACCCAGCCACAAAAAAAACAGGTGATCGCCGTATTGGCAACCAACCCCACCCAAACCAACCAAACCCACCCAAACCAACCAAACCCAACCAAACCCACCCAAACCAACCAAACCCAACCAAACCCACCCAAACCCAACCAAACCCAACCAAACCCACCCAAACCCACCCAAACCCAACCACCCAAACCAACCAAACCCAACCAAACCAACCAAACCCAACCAAACCAACCAAACCCAACCAAACCCACCCAAACCAACCAAACCCACCCAAACCACCCAAACCAACCAAACCCAACCAAACCCACCCAAACCAACCAAACCCAACCAAACCCACCCAAACCCAACCAAACCCACCCAAACCAACCAAACCCAACCAAACCCACCCAAACCCACCCAAACCCAACCACCCAAACCAACCAAACCCAACCAAACCAACCAAACCCAACCAAACCAACCAAACCCAACCAAACCCACCCAAACCAACCAAACCCACCCAAACCACCCCCAAACCCAACCAAACCCAAAACCAACCAAACCCACCAAACAAACCAACCAAACCCACCCAAACCAACCAAACCCAACCAAACCCACCCAAACCCAACCAAACCCACCCAAACCAACCAAACCCAACCAAACCCAACCAAACCCACCCAAACCAACCAAACCCAACCAAACCCAAACCAACCAAACCCACCCAAACCAACCAAACCAACCAAACCCACCCAAACCAACCAAACCCAACCAAACCCAACCAAACCCACCCAAACCAACCAAACCCAACCAAACCCACCCAAACCAACCAAACCCACCCAAACCAACCAAACCCAACCAAACCCACCCAAACCAACCAAACCCAACCAAACCCACCCAAAACCAACCAAACCCAACCAAACCCACCCAAACCAACCAAACCCACCCAAACCAACCAAACCCAACCAAACCCACCCAAACCAACCAAACCAACCAAACCCACCCAAACCAACCAAACCCAACCAACCCCACCCAAACCAACCAAACCCAACCAAACCCACCCAAACCCACCCAAACCCACCCAAACCAACCAAACCCACTCAAACCAACCAAACCCAACCAAACCCAACCAAACCCACCCAAACCAACCAAACCCAACCAAACCAACCAAACCCACCCAAACCCACCCAAACCAACCAAACCCAACCAAACCCACCCAAACCAATCAAACCCACCCAAACCAACCAAACCCATCCAAACCCACCCAAACCAACCAAACCCAACCAAACCCAACCAAACCCACCCAAACCAACCAAACCCACCCAAACCCAACCAAACCCACCCAAACCAACCAAACCCACCCAAACCAACCAAACCCAACCAAACCCAACCAAACCCAACCAAACCAACCAAACCCAACCAAACCCACCCAAACCCAACCAAACCCACCCAAACCAACCAAAGCCACCCAAACCAACCAAACCCAACCAAACCAACCAAAGCCACCCAAACCAACCAAACCCAACCAAACCCAACCAAACCCAACCAAACCAACCAAACCCACCCAAACCCAACCACACCCACCCAAACCCAACCAAACCCAACCAAACCCAACCAAACCCACCCCAACCAACCAAACCCAACCAAACCCAACCAAACCCACCCAAACCAACCAAACCCAACCAAACCCAACCAAACCCACCCAAACCCACCCAAACCAACCAAACCCACCCAAACCAACCAAACCCAACCAATCCCACCCACCCACCCAAACCCACCAACCCACCCAAACCTGCCCACCCACCCAAACCTAGCCCACTCACCCACCCGCACGCCCGCCGCTCGCCCTCACTCACTCACTCACTCACTCACTCACTCACTCACTCACTCACTCACTCACTCACTCACTCACTCACTCACTCACTCACTCACTCACTCACTCACTCACTCACTCACTCACTCACTCACTCACTCACTCACTCACTCACTCACTCACTCACTCACTCACTCACTCACTCACTCACTCACTCACTCACTCACACACACTCACTCACTCACTCACTCACTCACTCACTCACACACACACTCACTCACTCACTCACTCAATCACTCACTCACTCACTAAATCACTCACTCACTCACTCACTCACTCGCTCACTCACTCACTCACTCACTCACTCACACACACACACTCACTCACTCACTCAATCACTCACTCACTCACTCACTCGCTCACTCACTCACTCACTATCACTCACTCACTCACTCACTCACTCACTCACTCACTCACTATCACTCACTCACTCACTCACTCACTCACTCACTCACTCACTCACTCACTCACTCACTCACTCACTCCCTCGCTCTCCCTCTCTTTCTCTCTCCCTTTCCACACTGCTATTAGCTATCCCCTAGGTTCAAACTAGAAGCGCTGTCGGCCCAGTGTTCTGACTGCGTCTCGTTTTTGCTTCTTTCAGGGTTTTGAAATCCAATCATTTCCCCAAAGGCCCAAAGGATGCTCAGGGCCAGGGTGAAGAAACCTCTCACATGCACAAGCAAGTGTCCGTTTAAATGAATTGGCTTGTGGCTGGCAGCTTGGCTCTTTGCATGTTTCAGCCTGTTTTCTCGCGGGAATGTTCACCAGGGTGTTGCACCGGTGAAAGGAACCGGATGTTCATTTGTTGAAATTACTGAGGGTAATCCATAGAGACCTTCTGGGACGGAAATCTACTTATGGAGGGCTTCTCCAAACACGCCTTGGCCGAGGCCGCGTGATGTTTTGCAGACCCAAAGGAGCCGGACTCGAACCAAGCCCGCCTTTGGGCCCAGACGCGTTCCAGAGGCTAGAGGGACAGGGTTCGGCATGGGTCCAAGGCAGAAACCTTTTGCTAAAGGTCGAGATAGAAAAAAACAAAGTGGTGAAATACCAAAGTGTGCATTCCGTTGACTCTTCTTGCTTTCTCAGCAGGCCAAACAACCTTCCATGTCAACACATAACCCCAAGACACACCTTGTCTTGCAGGATCTTTCAGGACACTCGATAGGCAGGATTCGGACGTCCCATTGGCGGGTTGCAAGTCCTCCAGTTCTGGTCGAAACTGGCCAACCCTGGTAACAAAAACCAACCAACCCAACCCAACCCACCCCACCCCAACCCAACCCACCCCAACCCAAACCACCCAACCAGCCTCCCTCCGTCATCCTCCGTCCCACAAGTCCAACACCCCCGCGGTTCCGCCTCCTCAAAGTGCAGCACCCCTTTCGGTATCTCCGAGAAATCCAGCGCTTCCCTCCGCCCGTCGCCTACGGCGGAAAGTCCGCCGGAAGCGGTCGCTCGAGCCGTCCGTTTATTTGTGTTTTGCACTCGGTTGGGGATATCACCTGAGCTTTTGTGTTGTTTTGGAGCGGTGTGGTTTGAGCTTTCGAAGTTTGGGGTTTCGGTTCTGGCCTGGAGTTTGGGATGGTGTTGTTCGGGACTTTGGATATTTTTGGGTTCCAACTGGATTTCCTTTCTGGGTTTAAACCTCCCAGGTTGAATTCAGCTTTGGGTGATGTGGGGCATTTGTCGGGATCCTGAATCTGAAGGGGGCCCTGAAACAAGGGTAGCTTCCCGGTACCTTCATCTCCTACCCCCCTTTGCAGCATTCTACTTTGCCGCTTTCTTAGCTCATGTTCAACCTCATTGAGCACCAAAAAGGTTCTTGGACCCGAGTCAGGTTTTATCGTTCCCGGTTGTCAGTTGCCCAGCCCAGCGCAGATTCTCTTTCCGTTACGTCGGGAGAGAATTGGTGTTGAATGCAAGCGTCAAAAAGGGCGTGCTTTTGTTCGTGAGAAATCAGCTGAACAACTTTCCGTTCCTTGGTATGGTAGTAAACCACTTTGCTCTTGCATTTTTCAACTGAACATGAACGAAACCACCACAACCAAACAACAGTGCAGACAAGCAAGTCATCAATCTGAACGATCCTTCTCGGTGGACCTTCGGGCCGGCAGATCTTAGCAAAACTGCTGAAAGGCAAATGGCACACCAGAATGATGTCCCGACAACTCAGAGAAGACTGAGAAATTGAAAGGTTCCTTGACTGGGGTCCCGGAAGAATTTGTTGTTATTGGCGGTGCCTCTTGGCATGAGCAAAGGCAGGGGTTCCTAGCGGCGTGCCGATACTTCAGAGTACCGACGCTTTGATGTTCACACGGTGCCAAACTCTGTGGGACGCTTGTCGAAGCCCGGTGTCACCCCTGCGCAGCGTATGATGCAACACAGAAGCACTGTGATATGAAAGCTTCTCGTTGCATTTTGCACGTTTGACATCGCGCAGATCGGCATATCATACATATATATGTATGTATATATATATATATATTATGTGTACATGCCATGTAAGGCCTATGTAGGGACTCGGGTATGATGCGGTATGCCTGGCTTGCGCCATGGGTGCCCCCTTACATCACCCCAAGGAAACTCCCCAACACGGGCCATCTAAGGTGATGTTTACGCCAGCGTCGGCATGGGGATATACCAACGCCATCTCAGCTGCTAGAGCCCTCGGACCAAACCGATGGGAAAGGTCGAGTTTTGCGACTGAAGCCAAAGGAACTCAGTCCCATGGTGACTTTCCATCCTAAAATGTCCTCCCCCCCCCCGGAAAAGAGAGCCCCGTTTCTTCATGTTCTTTTCTTTTTGCCCCAAGCCAGCTGTGTTTCCCCGAGCTTTCGCACGTCTTCCAGACGCGGCTGGACCCCATCCAACTCCGAGCCGCCGGAGTTCCGGCGCTGCGCCCAGTCCAACTTCGATGGCTCCTTCTTGGGAGCCATGGCTCCGGATGGATCGCGGGGAATGTCCCAAGGGAACTGAGTCCTCCCGCCTCGGCGCGAAAAGCGAAGGAAGCAGAGCCGGTGAGCCACAAGCACACAGCCCCAGAAATCCACAGCTTTGTTGTTTTCAGGGTTAGAACTGATCATGTCCAGCCGATTGGTCATGAGGCTGTGGGACTTACTCACTGGGAAAACAGCGGGCTTCCCGACCAACTTCCTCACTGAAAGGGAGGAAGGCGAGCCTATCCCCATGTCGCGAACCGAGCTTTAAGTCCTATCGGGCGGGTCGGTGGGGTGGGGGGTGACATATTATGCCAAGTACCAGTAGCTGGATGAAGCTAATGAAGCTCCTTTGGGTTGCCTTTTGGCAACTGGTTGTGTGGTTGTACCACAGGTAAACAACTTCATCGGAGTCATCGTCAAAGCTGGGCATTAAAGAGGTCTACCCAAAACACTGTCACGAATCAAAGAAGCGGTCGCTAGAAAAGGGCCGTCCATTGAACCAATGCGACCACTGGTGGACTTTGATCTGTCATATTCACCGAGATGTTGATGTATGGCTCTGTGTTTACGCGTGTCCATGCCAACTCCCTGGGCGGTAGCAACATGGACGCACATTTCAGTGCGCCCAGTAGACTCACGTCCTCAAAAGAACCAAACGGTAAGTTCAAAGGGACACCACCCCCCAAAAATCGCGCACCACCGGTATCGGCGAAGTGGTAACCGGGGCCACATAAACTTGACCAACCAGAGGGGCGACACATACCAGAAACTCCATGAGAGATTAGGATGTGAGGAACAACTAAGGCGCCCAACCAAACAACCAGGGCCTCACCAAGTAGTAGTGAAAAGACGGGGCCTACGAGTGGGTTTTTTGCACATTCGTACAATCCCGAGGTGCCCCACGAACTGAATTTCGGGATGGATCAGTGATGGATTTAGCACGACAAGTCACTGGGAAACGACGGTCCCGACATTCGGTAGATGTCAGGCGTCACGGGATTTCCAGTTCAAAAGTTGCACTTTCCTGGCGGTGTCCATTGAAACGTGCAGATACGAATCCCATTCAAAAGTTCGGTCACTGTCTCTTGTGCCCCGAGCCAAAATAAGAAATGCTTGACTCTGGTCCATATTTATGAACATGTCGAAATAAAAGAAGGGACAAAACACGGAGCCCCGAAGCATACGCGCATTTCAAGCCAAAGGGCTTGAAAGGATCAAAACTCCTGGCAGCAAAGGTCAGTGGACAAGGCGAACAGTTGGCCGGAAATGGGGGTGCCCTAAAATAAAAGTACCCCCAGAATGAGTGATTTCCTTTTGGTTTCCCTCTAAACCAGCCCCAACATTCCCAGTAGCCAAACAACATCTGCTCAGTAAGGACCAGGAAATAAAGCTTAACCTTTGGGGCCATGACTGAAATGGGAACCCAAAGGGACAACTACAAGATCAATAGGTTATGGGGGCTGGGGAGGGAGCCCAAACAAGCCCCAAATAAGGCCTTGATAAGGGCTGAATAAGGGGTTTTCTTGGGCTCCCTCCCCCTCCCCTTCCTCCCCCCCATAGCCCCATGAATAGGCCGATTCGTTTTGGGCAAGTGAGCCTGACTCACAAACTAGGCAGTCACCAGATTTTTCAGGACATGTAAGGGGCCTGCACGCGGTTCGTATGAGCTCCCAGATCGGTGAGCTCCCAAAGGGGAGCAAAAGCTACCCATGGCCCAGTTTTTGCTTTTTGCCACATGGTGAGCAATGGGTGGCGAGCTTGGCTTCGAGACATTCAGGCTCTCTCGTATGTCCTCAAAAGGCACACGCCAATCATATGCTGAAGGCTACGCCAGCTACGCCGTCCTTGAAAAACCCCAAACGGAATCTCTGTCTTTTTTTTCTGGGCTTCCCAAAAAAGGTGGCATCCGTGTTGAATCCTTTTGAAACTACCCAACAGGGGGTTCTTCTTAAACGTGTTTCTGTCTAGTTGGCCACTCAAAGCAGGCGGCCTTGGGCTACAACCCAGTTGTGCACCCTGAGGGGCATGATGCATTGCCATGCAAAGCTAACTTGAATCTCCTGTTGGCCTTCTCCTGGGGAAAAAAACATCTATGGTAGCTATTGACTACACCCACCCAGGCCGCAAAGGCAGCTTTTCAGTTTTGTCTCTGTGGGGGTCAAGCCTCTCCCCCCCCCCCTGAAAAAAAAAAAAAACAAAACAGCTTCCGCACCAATCCTAGCTTCATGAAGCTTCGGCCCTTCTCGCGAACAGGGGATCCCGGCCTGACAATAAGGCTCAGCAGCTTCGACTGTCTGAGCCGAAACTGCGACGTCAGGCCGTTTGGTGAAAGTGCTGAACCCTGTGTTTGGGACTCCCAATCGCTGATGCTTGGTTGAGGTCGTTTTGCCATTGGGCGCGTAAGCCCCTGTGTCTGACAACCCCTTTCATGCCTGCGTTGCGGCTTGAGAGCGCTCTGCCTGAACTCTTCACAAACGACTTTTAAACGCCTTGGAGCAACTGCCATAAGGCCTCTGTTTTTAATGGACACAAGGGGTGCCTTCCGAAAATGAGACACCCATATCCTCCTTGACGGGAGGGTCTTGGCCTATCTTCTGTCAAAGGTTCCTCTTCGGAATGGGGGCCGTCCTTTCCGCAAGCAACCGCCGGCTTGAAGATTGAATGCGCCTGCGGAAGGGAACAAGCTGGACACCCTTGAAATGCGGCCATGGGTTTCTGCTTGATTTACTTGCAAAAAACACGGGGCAGCCACCAAATGCCCAAAATATTGCAACAAACCCGCTACCTACCGACATCTGCCATGGTTTTGTGGCTTTTAGTGTGGTTGATGTACTTGCAATCTCTTGCAATACTAAACACATCCACCATATTTGTCCATTCCCATGTTCAATGATTCCAGGCGTAGCGGATCATTCGCACCCTTTTGTCACGCGCAAAAGGGGACGATCAGGATTGTGAGGAACCTTGTGGCGATGCGCTTGCGTGCGGTTCCGATCCGCAAAACGTGTTGGGCCACCATTCTCTGGTTCAAGAATTGAACATGGAATGCTGAAAACCTGGCTGTCCGTTTTCTGATCCCCTGCTAAAAGTTTAGCCTGTGGGTAAAATGAAAACCCCCGCTAAACCAACTAAAAACAACTAAATTCCCAAGGATTCGGCCGATTCGCTGGTTGAACCGCGACAAGAAAACCGATTTCTATTGGAGAGCTAAGGCCCCAAGGTCCAATTCGCACTATGCAGTGGCTCTGTGACCGCGAAATCCGTTCGCTAACAAATTGAAGCCTTCCTGGATCGCCAGGTGCGATCGCTTTTGTCCATGCACTGAACCCCAAAAACCAGCAACAGTGACTGAACAAACTTGGAAACCACAACGTTTCTTGGTATTTACGCTCGGAAATCGGGTGATGCAACATGGATTTCGCCCAGTATGAGTGTCAGTTGGATAAAGGCCCAAAGTCTGGCAATGGAACCCTGGCTATTTGCCCAACCCCCCCCCCCCCCCAGTTGCTAGTTTTTGTGCCGGTACAATCATCAGGCCCCAAGGGCCACAGCAGTACCGATCAAAAAAGCCGCCGAGGGACATGTGAAGCATTTGCAAGGCGCCGCCGAAAGCGATGAAGTCCCCCCAGGTGTAATTCCCAGCTTTGAGCACCAAGGTGTTGGTCTGGTACCTAACGTGAAGCTCACTGGATCCGAAAACAAATCCAAGCCGGTACAGACCGGCCTAAGATGAGGCATCTAACCAACGAAACTGAGGAACTAACGAAAATGCTGGTTGCGAATCGCTAAAGAGGCCAACCAACAGGCGAACAATCAAACAAATCAGTCACGCCCGTGTATGTCATAAGAAACGCCGGTGCAAGTCTCAGGGTAGGGGTTCCCAGGTTTGTGCCAAGCCCCTGGTGGATTGTTGAAGCATTTTCAATCCAGTGCTTCCGTCCTTGTTGCCATGGTGTTTTCTTGGGACTGTGTAACGGGTTCCGGGGTCATTTTAAAGGGACGCCCAAAAAAGAACACCAACGCGTTTGGGTGTGTTTGTTCTTTCCGTTTTTTCGGGGGGTATGAAGCAGCCAAGGTACCCGTAAGGCGCTGTATAGCACGCCGAGGCCGCGTAGGTGACGATGAGCGCCATCTGACCTACTGGGATGTTCATGGTGGCCGCAATGGGGATGGCGATCTGGCCCATAATGGCCACCTAAGCATGCAAACATGGTTTCCTTCTGAAGCCCTGCTGGGATCTTCCCTTCTCTGACTCATTTTCAGGCATTGCCAGGGCTCACTCAAACTGGATCCATTGGAGCAGTTTTGGGGGTTGGTTGAAAAGGGGCACCAAGTGGAGACCACCGATTTACTGGCAAAATGTCCGCCAGGTAGATCACTGAACACGACTTCGTAGATCTTGTTGGAACCACATCTCTTCCAGGTGGGTAAAAACACGTATTTCCCAGGTAGATTCTACCCCTGGTGAACATCAAAATAGATGGCGAATGGATGTTCATCCACCCCAAAGGTTGTGCCCCATGGCCATATCTTTGCAAGATAGCTGCGCTGCAAGGCACGCATGAGCACATGAGCAAAGCCCCTTCCATCCGGCCGGTGACGAGCAATTTTGCATGCAAAACGCTCAGCTGTTGGTCCAATATATGGCTGTGGCTCACAACGTAGTACCAAAAATGGAACCCAGGTAAATGGAACCAAAGACTAAAACCAGCGTAACCCCGGCTGTTTAATTTTGAGCCACCCATATGTCAAGCAAGCTGTTGCTTTTTGTTGCTGTTGTTTTGTTTGTTGTTGACAAGGTTTTGGCAAAACTGCTGTCTTTTGCTTGCCTGCTATCTGATGCGTTAACCTGCCAACCTTGAACTGACGATCGCTGTTTGACCGACAGGTCGATTGGACCAGTTTGACCTACCTCCAAAAGCGCCAAACAAGGCTGGTCTTTTGAGTTCCTTGGACAGTTGCTGTTCAGCCCCCAGATTGTTCCCTTACGTTAGTGGCAACCTGCTTTTCCAAAGTAAGACCCGAAAGCTTCCCCTTTCAACATCACCAAAACCTCACTTTAAGAAGGACCAACCAGTGGTAGTTTCACCAACTCACTTTTAAGAAGGACCAACCTGTGAAAGTTCAAGCCACTTGAACATCCCCCGCTATCGTTTTTTTTTTTGGGGGGAGTGGATGGATTGGACACGAAGACCCGACCCAGGTGTCCATCGTCGGGTCCATGTTGCGACCTTCAGTTTGGTTCTCATCATTTGGTGTCCTTTTTCGAACCTTAGTTTGGTTCTTATCATCATTTGGTTCTCATCTCCTTTTTTTGTTGACCCCCCCCAAAACGACTTCACGTAGATTTTTGGGCTTTCCTTTGAACCAACCCCAACAAGGGTATTTTCCTGTCCACGATTGGAACCTGAGCGAGGTGTCCTGGGTTCCATGGCAACATGAGGGTACCAACTCTGTCTGAACCGGCAATTCCCCAAACAAACCCCAAAAAACAGCAACAAAAACTCCGATTTGATTGGAAGCCCCCAAGATAACTTCGCTTACTTGACCGATCCATTTCGCTTTGGCACGTTGGCGGCGCTGTTGAGGAACTGCCCCAGCCCAATGGTCGCCAAGTAGATGCCCAGGCGCACTGCCGTGTCCTCAGAAACGCGTCTGAACTATGCGCTGTTTGGCGTTTTCGGGGCGGATTGGGACGTTCTTCTCGTTTTTGGGGGGAGTGAGGTTTGGGGTTCGGGATTTGGGGGGCTGGGGTTTGGAAAGAGACATGGAGGGGTGGGGGTTTTGGGGTTCGGGGTATAGAATTTTCGGGGGTACCAAGGGTTTACGTTCTGAGGGGCTTGGGGTACCATAGAACCACATATCATAACCATGGACAGTGATAGTCATGTTTCGGGCCCTTGTGTTACCCGCTGACGCTTCATTCGACCAACTCGGTTGAGATTCAGTGACCTTGGCCCAGAGTGCACCAAACACATGTTCAGATTCTGTTTCAAATCTGATCTGGAAAGACAACATATCTTAGGAGAACCCCAGGAAAACGGTGCCCGCCTTCAGACTCGGCACAAGTGTAACATGCAACCCAGAAAAGAGGCCCAAGCGGTCCCGCACAAAGAATGCCTGAAATGATGGCTCTTCGGGTGGGGGCCCAATCTGGATGTCCAAAGGCATGGAGACCACACAGAAACCTCGGGTAAGGGCTAGGAAATTTAAAAGACACCAAACCGAGCAGTAAAGCTACACTTTCTATCCAAACGGAATGGATGAGGGTTTACAGAGCGTCAATCACAGGTATGGGGCCCGTAGACCTCAACTTTTGGCAGCCAAACATATGCACATTTCATTCTATATTTCAAAACCCTCAAAAAGGTATCCCTGGTAAGGGAAGATCCATGCCAAGGGTAAAGAAGCGCCTAACAACCAACACAAGATGCCGAGCCGGCGCGCATTTGCTCGTTTTGGTGTATGCGTGTGCGACATAACAGATAGCCGCCTGGTCATTTGCTCGTTCCCCGAAACCAAGGGGAAACCACTTTTCCTGCTTTGGTCCGTCCTTCTTTTTGGGAGGGGGGTGCCCTATTTTAAGACACCCGCAACACATGGCAAACAACAAGACCCCCCCCCCCCCAAAAAAAAAAAAGGAGAGAGAGAAAACACAAAAAAGCAACACCACGACACAACAAAACAGAACAACACAACAACCTCAAACACGCACTGACGCCGGCAAACCGCAAAAAAAAAAAAAAACGGAACAAGGAAAAACCAACTCTTTTCATGGACCCCAGAGCTTGGACCCCACGTCCGCGGAAACGGTTCCACCTTCCGAGGCGCCCCCAAAGGAGCGGTGGCGGCCACCATGGCCTGGGCCAGGCAGTTGGCGAGGCAGGAGACCTCCATGGCGCGGCCCAAGGCCAAGGCACCCACGATGGTGAGCAGCACCGGGCCGTTGATCTCGCTGTAGACCTCCTGCGGTTGGCGGGGGGGGTGGGGTGGGGGGGGTTTGGGGGGGGGGGATGGGGTTGGGGGTTGGGGGTGTTGGGGGGTGTTGGGGGTGTTGGGGGTGTTGGGGGTTGGGGGTGTTGGGGGTGTTGGGGGTGTTGGGGGTGTTGGGGGTGTTGGGGGTGTTGGGGTGTTGGGGGTGTTGGGGGTGTTGGGGGTGTTGGGGGTGTTGGGGGTGTTGGGGGTGTTGGGGTGTTGGGGGTGTTGGGGGTGTTGGGGGTGTTGGGCGGGTGGGGTCGGGGGGGTGGGGGTGGGGTTGGGGAGTTGGGCGGGGAGTTGGGGGGAGTTGGGGTGAGCCCCAAGGCCGGGGCTTGGCATTCGAATCATGCCCCAAGTTCCCATCCAGTGGGAAATCCTTTGTGGAACCAGAAAACGACACAAAGCTGAGCCAGACCCTAGGGGCGATAAGAAACAAAGGTTCTGTTGAAGGGGTGCCACTTGGGTAGGCACCATGTGGGGATTCATGCCCACCACTTTTCGGGAGTTTCTTGTTCAAACTCATGGCCAAAGGGGGCCCCGGCGAGTTTTTTTTTAACCATCCATGCCGTTTTTTGGCTCCCATCCAGCTTCCCTCGCCCGGCGGTGCTCCAGGGGCTCCATTCCCCCAAAAATTGCCCGACAAAACCAGGTTCCCTCGTTCAGCCCTCTTGCAGTTTTTCAGGTTGGGAATTCACCTGGCAAGTCCTTCTGCAAGGAGAGCCCAAAGCGGTGATGCTTCGTTTTGGGGTCATTTCATTTCTCCTTTTGTGCCCATCGAACCACGAGCTTGGGATGACTGATTTCACTGCTCGTCCTGCACCCGCAGGCCCTTCACCAACACGATGCCACAGAGGAAGATCACCGCCATGACCGGCATGCTGGGGGCTTTGTCCCCCAAAGAGGCGATGCAAATCCTGAAGAATTTCTCGTGCGGACGCAGGAAGCAGGTTGTGGGGGTGGAGTTGGGAAACCAAAAGGAAAGCCACTAACTTTTGAGCCCCCTATTGCAATATCTATATATATATATATATATACATACGCAATATATAGGTATATATATATATACATATATACAAACATATATCTATGTATATGGCACGGAGAGGTGCCCATGTGCCAAGTTAACAGGTGCTCCGGGTGGGCTTCATTTGCCTGATGCCAAAGGGATCGTTGAAGCCAAGTTTGCTCAATCCAAAATGGTGGTGTTCCCTTACTAGGTCCCTCAATAGTGCCCTTTTGCCCTTTTTTTTGGGAGGGTTCCCCTACTAAAACAGACTACAGAAAAAAGGGTTCCCTTTTTCTAACCTCTCTACTGGAGGACTTTTGGTGTCCCTTTAAAACCAACCAAAGAGCTGCAACCAGTCAAGAGATAGCCCATTCTACTTTTGATGGGTGTTGCCCTTGGAGGGGACTTTCCTTTTGGGGCTTGAGGTTTCCAAACGCGTCCTTTCCGGGCACCATCCGTCCAATCATTAGGCCCAGGCACCAAAAGGAAGACCTACTCCCCTGCAAATACAGATCGAACCAACAACAAAGTGGGCCCCCGGAAGTAGATGACACGAACCATGGGCTGTAATCTGAATGCGGGGGAGACATGAGAACAACCAGAAGACAAAAACGGAGCAACCAAGTATCACACAGCCTTCTGGGACTCCGACAGGATTCAAAAGTCAAAAGGAAGGCACCAAGTAAACGAGCGGAACAAAATCCACGCTTGCCAACTCGAGCACAGTGAGACTCAAGACCAGGCCAAATATGGGTGTTGTTTAAAGGCATTTTGGGGTCCACTTCCCCCAAAAAAACCCATATGGTCCAAGAGGAACTGGGGTGAAATTTGGGTTTATGACCCCCATGTGGGCTCGTCTTTCTTGTTGAGGGTCCCTTGTTGGTTTGCTCTCCATTTTCCACCAATCTTGGAAGTGGACAATTGCAGGATATTGCAGGCCTCCCCAGGAAAGTCGGAAAGTAGCCTTCCATGCGTTTTTTTCCCCAGATAGCTGAACGCTGTGGGGGTTCTAACTTTTAAAAAAGAGTGGAAAGTGACTTGCGAGATTGACGGCAGCGTGCTGGCGCAGGGGCTTGCAAGATTGACGGTCGGGTGCTAGGGGGGCGTGTGTTGTAGGGCGCTGCTTTTTTCGGAGATTTACGGCTCAATGCCAGTTGCTGGTGCAGGGGTTGTTTTGGGGTAGCGCATTTTTGCGAGATTGACGGCAGGGTGCTAAGGGGGGTGCTGGTGCAGGTGCTGTTTGAAGTGCTGGTGACGGTGTGGGTGCATTTCTTGCTTGACCTGTACATTTGCGCAGCCAATGTTTTGTAACAAACGAGCACCTTGATTGTTTTGCGCTATCTAGGGTCTATGCTGGTGTATTTTCTTCTTGCTTTTGTTGTTTCCTTTTTTTTTGTTGGGGGGGGGGGCGGGGTAGGATGACAAGCTTAGCCAATCCCGAGACCCAGGACGAAAGCCAACAACGTCTGGAAAGATCAGAAATTGTATTGGCAAAACTGGAAAACTCGCTAAAAGGAGCGACAAAGAATAGTCACCGTCACCTTGCCCCCATTTTGGTGGCTTGGTGGTTTGGACGTTTGGGGGTATCTTCCTCTATACATTGCAAGTAAGGAACACGGAAACCCTCTCACCACAATTTACACGGGCCTTGTGGCCTTTTTTGTATGGTTGGCTTGCGGTACTCGCAACACATCTCACCAAGAGCGGGAAAAGACCACCACATCAAGACAACCAAAACAACAGGAGATGTGTAAATCGAAAAAAACAACGAGGGAACCACATAAACCATTGAACCAGCTAAGTCTCATCAAGACTAGGCCCACAGCGATGAAGACCGCCCGCAGGAAGTCCGAGCGCTGGCCGGTGCGCGGGGGCGAAGAGTCTGGGACCACCCGGACCACCCCGAAGTGGTCCAGCCAAACGTCGGAGCCAACCATATCCTTAAAGGCTTCCACCAGGAACCTCAGGCGGCAAGTGGGGGTGGAACCGTGGGGCCTCTTGGGTGAGGAAACGTGAACTTGGCAGGAACCTTGCAACCAACAAGGTCCGAAAAAGAAACGTGAGCTTGTAATTACCGGCCAACCACATGGAACAACTACAAACACCCAACAACACAGGGAACAACATCCCGCAGGAACCTCACACAGCCAACAACAAGGAACAACATCCAGCAGGGAAACAATACAATCAGTCAGATTGTAGGGCACGCACTTCTGTGTTCAAGAGGGGGGTCTAGCAAAACAATATTACGCTCACTTGCGACAGAACCGCACCAACAGGTTATCGCCTTGTGAACCCTGACTAGAAAAGGCCACAGGAAACCTAACAGGTTTTCAGGTCGGCTCTGGGAAAGTGAGAAAGATACTCGGGCGTCAAATAGGGGGTCTGGAAAAGTGTTCAAACTTGTTCAGCAACTTCCGGCTTACTTTTGGGAAAATCACAAACTATGCAAGGAACAATAGGGGTCAAGCTAGCATCGAAAATGAAACACCCCAGGCACAAACTAATCATCCGAAAAGTTTGGATTGCACATGTTGCAAGCGAATCCAGCACTTAAACTAAACTGTTCCGGAAGTGGGACAACCAAGACCAAACCAACACCACACAGCCAAATCAAATAGCAACCAACTTGCAAGAAAGACATGGAGCAGGTTCGCGTTTCATCAAGTCTGAGATTTCATCGCTCAAACTAAGGGGACTCTTTCTTTTTGGAGTCGATGCTAAACGGGACACCCCAAAACACGTTGGAACAAAGGCAAGCGCCTGGAGTATTTGGACTGGACATCTCCAGGACCACAAAACGCCACGTATCCGGGGATCAACTTTCCATGCAAAGCACTCGGATCACCGGGCGACCCAAAAAAAACCTAAGGGATCGCAGTGCCATACCAGCGCTGTCCGTTTTCTGATCATCTCAAAGTTTAAACTTTTAATGGGTTAAATGGAAACTGCCACTAACCAAAAAATCTGAAAACCTAGGAAAGAAAAAGGAGAGACTGCTGGAGCTCGAGCCCAGCTGCATGGACGGACGGCAGGGGCTCGAGATCCCGGAACTCAACACCAGGGAGAACCCCAAACGAAACGGACGGTTCCCTGGTTGAACCGATGCAGTGCGGCAAGTAAAATCTGGAACTCCAAAACCAACTGAACCTAATGTTTGACCTCATATGTAATCAACCCCAGTTTAGTAGTGGAAGGGGGTTTTTGGGGTGAAATGTGACAAATCAGACCGGCCCCCAGCCCCTATGAATGCACTGGGGTTGATTAATACTGTCGATGGACGAATCCTGCACCACTTTGAAACCATGGGAAGCCATTGTTTGTTGGTATTGACAGTGGAATCATTCTAGGGATTCTTAGATTTTGCGGTGCAGGATTTCGTCCATCCACAGTATGGGGTCATTGCCCCATGTCCAACTCCCGGCCATGGCGCACGTCTCCGGACTGCACCTCGTAGCCGTGGAAGGATTCGCGCCAGGTGTCGCCGTCTCCGCGGACCGCCACCACGGCACACCGCAGCTGGCTCTTCCAGAAATTGGAACTCACCGCCTCAGAATTTTGCACTGTGAATTCTCAGTCCCCCAGTGGATGGCCCCAAACAAGTATTTGCCACAAGAATGGCAACCAAACCCAACAAGTTCCAAGTCCGAAACGGCACTCGGGGAGTGAGAATATGATGGAATCCTAGCGGGGGGGGGGGGGCCTTGGGCTTTTGGTAGTCCAAGAGTGGGCTCCCCAAGGCTCAACTGCACCCCGTTTGACCCATGGGATTCCACAAAGGAATGTGCGTGGCTCGCCTCCAATCGAACATGAGGAATCGGTCCAGATTTTGACCATTTCCTTTATTCCTGGGACATTCTGGTGGGTTCCATGTTCGTGGACAGAAGGCTACCCCTTTTGGTTTCAATGGGAAAGCAATATCCAGTTAGGGAGTGAAACGGGACACACCAAGGTGTCCGGAGTTGGACCCAGGTTTCCTACATTTCCCCTGTAAAAATCACAAAGAGAACCTTGATGGAGCCTTTGGTCTAAATAGTTGTGCAGCCGCGGATTTAAGGGCATGGGGTCTGGAATTTTCATTGGACGTCAATCTATGGGGAAATATGGGTATGAGTTTTCGATGGATTTCAGGTTTAAGATCCCACATCTTTCAGGTTTGAAGGCTTTTAGTATTTACCGGCCAAGAACTTTGCGGGATGCTTGTGCACGAAATCCATACAAGCACCGCCAAAGAAACTGTGGCTGAAACCTTTGTTCCCTCGTATAAACGTTGGGGAATCATCAGAAAACAGGGCTCCTTGCTGCGAGAAGCCAATGGATTTCGCAACCGTTCAGACTTTGGAACGTCTATCCAAGGGAATTCCCCACCTCTCCACTGGAAGTGGACCACTTGATCTCCAACCAAAGCAGAACACTTTACTTGGTTGCTGTTGACCCCTCTGCAAAAAGTTTAGCCTTTTGTGGGTTTAGAGGACAACCATTTGATTTCCCAAAAAGTTAGTCTAAAGATCCAATTCAATGGCAGTCAGGTTTATGTTTCTCGTCCAAGGATCTGAAAAGAGGAGACTCAGGGATCCGGAAGCCAACCGTCTGCCATTCGAGGGAATCCTGTACTCGAAAGGAGGCCGACCAACCCCAGACGTGACTCTGAAGAACACCTCAGAACAGTACCCAACAGAAACAACACACCAGCAAGCAGATCTGATCATGTCGCAACGGCATTTGGGATTGGAAGAGCTGTATGACTCGTATGACTCCATCTTATCTGTGCCACCAGTTGGTCTTAACTTAGGAATGTTGAAGGTGCAGAGGTGAGACACCCCAATACACCAACCAAAGGCCAGCGGCCTTTCGAACAAGAAACCCACCACGAAGGCAACAAAGAACCACACAACACAGCATCCAGCGCTGAAACAAAAGCAACACCATGACTCAGCCAACAAACAATAATCCAAGAAACCAACACATCCACAACCAATAAAAGGCACACGCCAAAAAAGCGACCACCAACACACCCACAACCAATACTGACTCACAACAAACCAAAACCAACAAATCAACAGCCAGTGCTGACCAACATCAAAGCAACACCAAAACTTACCAACATTATACCACCATACCAGCAAACCAACACAAACACATCGGCAACCAATCGACCAACCGACAAACCAACAAACCAACGCCTACAATCTCAAGCAACCAACCAGCCCTGAGACAACACCAATGCAAACCAACAAGTCCACTAATACTAAATTTCACACAAACCAACGAGCCACATACTGATTTCCCAGAAGCACACAGCCAGAACCAACAAAATCAGAAACCCACCAACCCACCCACCCACCCACCCACCCACCCACCCACTCACCCACCCACCCACCCACCCACCCACCCAACCAACCAACCAACCAACCAACCAACCAACCAACCAACCAACCAACCAACCAACCAACCAACCAACCAACCAACCCCAGAACCAACAAAATCACAAACCAACCAACACGCCACCCCGACCGCATACCTTCGACCAGGAGGCGGTCTGCACCAGGCTCTCCTTGATGGCTGCCTCGCACAAAGACCGAGTCCGGCGCATTGAGCCCAGACGGCCCACCTCGGGGCGGGTTCAATTTGCTGGGCTTTCAACTCAGATCCTTTTTGACGTCCGGAGGCTGTGCCGGACACCTGGGTTTGAGGATATCAAGCCATCACGCAGCACTGTTGTCTGCAAAGCACAAACTTTTCCCCCATAGTTTTCGAAACTATGGTTTTCGGTTCCGGGCAGTCCTCAGAGATTCGCGGCGAAAAGTCCCCTCTAGCTTCTTGGGGTGAATTGGACACTTTCTCCAAACCAACTAAAAACGAGAAAAAGTGTAAGGAACCGGACGCCTGGGAACCATCAAGTTTAAAGGCTCAGCTCTGCAAATCATCGGAAGGAACGCAATGAGGTCCCCAAAAAGGAGGTTCCTCTCAGGGCGGTTTTGTGGGGTTCCAAGTCAATTTGTAGGAGTGCAAAGTGAGGATTTGGTGGGTTTGATAAAACAGATTTGGTAGGATAGGTTCCAGTTGGACATGATTTGCATGGGGCGAGTCTCATGTTTTTATCTGGTTGGTGGGGGAGTTTCAATCACTTGGCCTTTTTCCAGCCACGCTTGGCCGGAAAAAGTAGATCGCGTTGGCCCCTTGCCCATAAGACGAGAGGATGATGAAACCTTCACAAGAAAAAACTTGTGCTTATCTCTTCCAAAGCCCCCTTAAAGCGTGGTAGAACTGCGATATACCATACAAAAGAGCTTAGAAGTCCAACACGTTCTGTCCGCTTCTGATTCTACAAGCTGTATGGGGACCTTTCCTTGGTTTTATGGCTCTACTTGAAGTTTTTAATAGATCAAACCAGGGTACAAGCCCTAGAACCAAACTAGGTAGAACCTATCAAAATGAAGTACCATTGAAACAAAGTTGCTCCAATTTGACGCGATCGGCAGACGTCAGCCAGGTGAACGAAAATCCAGGGAACACCAAAGGACGAGTTGAAAACTCAAAGCAAAACCAAAGGAACCCCCAACTGCCCTCACATCCCCCGCTCAAAGTTTTTAACTTGTGGCCTTATTCCGGAGACAACCCCCCCTCAAAACCAACTGCAAAGCAGCAAATCTAAAGAACCCATGGCTGTGAGCGAAGCCAAGGAGAAAGAGGGGATGAGGGAATGAGGGAAGGACCGTGAATGAAACATCCAACTGGTGGTTTCCCTTAAGTGGACCAAGGCCTGGGTTCATTCCATTTCTCCTTCCCCGATTTTGCACCAGCTGAAAAGTTGAAAAGCTCACCTCCTCCTCGTTGCCCAGCTCGAGGCCCCTCACGCACCGCAGCTGCGTCACCTTTCTCTGACAAGTGGTGTGGAACCCACCAAGGGATTTTCCCCAAACAGTGAGGAATGCAAGGAAACAAACGGTTTCAGTTCATTGGAACAGGCACTGCAGGCATCAAATGGGTTTTCTTTGCTTTTGAACGGCTTCCCAGTTTACTTTTCGGCACTTCTGGTTTCGATTTGTTTGAGGAGACCCTTGGGATGTTTTGAGGGGAAACCAAAGGAACCCGTGCAATGTGAGGGCTGACCTTTTCAAACACACACCCAAGTGGAAGGAGAGAGAAAGCCGCCCGACGAAGGGAAACCACGGCGGAAACAGGAGGCACATATCAAACACAGCTGCAAACCAGCGCAAACAGATGGAAGGACGGATCTTCAGACTTCTTGGCGACTGATTTCTGCAAACAAGGGGAAGCTCAAACTGTTCCAAAACTTGCGGGCGAAAGATCCACTCACCTATGCAAAACGCATCCCCAGCCACAGAAGCTCACTTGCCCCCAACGGACCCGGAAAACATCGGTGACATCTCAAAGCTAGCATGGGGTCTGAGGTGTGGATGTTAGCTATTTGGGAACCAAGATGCTGTCCCCTCATATTGATGTAAGACTTTGTTTTTTCAAGTTTGGCGAAACTACGACTGGCTCCGTCATTGTTCTACCACTAAGTCACCCCCCCAAGTGGTAGCCCAATGCCTGACTTTACCCCAAGGAATCAAACTATGGTCCCCTGTTGGTTTCCCTTTGGGCAACTATATCTCGCTTCCCGAGTTGATTGGCCAGAACAAGCTCCCAGACTTTGTTTTTGCCGCTAGAATGGTCTAAACCCCAAAAGTCGAAAACGCCCACCAAACTCGGTGGTGTGTGAGAGCCAGAGCTTTTTCCCCACCGTCTGAGAGAAACAAAAATATTCCCCCCCCCCCCCCCACACCAAAAAAAAAAAAAAAACGCGAGCGAGTCGCGCCCTCGGCGGTGCAGTTCACCAGTAAGAGGTCCCCACCCTCCAAGACCGCCGAGTGCACGTCGCTCGCGTCTGCGTCCGCGTCCGCGCCGCCGTCGTCGATGCTCTCAAGCTCCACCGACCGGGCCAGGCTGCCTCCGTCAGATGGCGACCCAGGCGGGCAAAACACACGGGAAAGACCCACCCAAATGGTGGCTTCCCGTTCTTTTCCCATTCACGCCAAAGGGAGTTTTTCTAAACAAGACACACCCACATCTACCATCTAAGTCATCCAATTATGTAATTGCAAAAGGATGGCTACCCCAGTGTCCCTTCGTAGTGCTTTGATGGAACATCCCGAGCCGCTTTCTTCAGCGGCCAATTGGTCAATCCTTCCGGGCCGCGGCGGGTTGAGGGCCGGGGGTTTCCATCTCCCGCTATCCACGATTCCCTGAAAATCGAAAGGCTCACCGAAAGTGGGAAGGGAGCAAGCAACAGCCTAACCTGAGTTGCCTCACCAAAAATAACACCAAAAATGACACTTGAACTCCTACCCTTGGTTGCGATTTTCCTCATGCACTGTGCGTCCAAAGTGATGGCGCGCGCACACATCCCGCGGAACCCAAAAAAACAAACAAATAAATCAGCAAAGCAAGAAATCAGCCAGCCGGCCAGGCAGCCAGCCAACACAGAAAGAAAGAAGCAATCAACAAAGAAAACATCCATCAATCAAACAAAGCACAACAAGACAAACAAAGCAACAAGCAAACAAACAAGCAAGCAAACCAAGAAACCAACAAAACCAACCAAACCAACAAATCAACAAACCAACAAACAATCAAGCAAACAAACAAAACCAACCAAACAAACAAACAAACAAGCAAACAAACAATCAAACAAGCAAACAAACACAAACAAACAAACAAACACAAACAAACAAACAAACAAACAAACAAACAAACAAACAAACAAACAAACAAACAAACAAACAAACAAGCAAGCAAGCAAACAAACAAACAAAACAAACACACAAAGAAGCACACAAACAAAAACAGAAGCCAAACCGGATCAACATGAAACAACACAACACAAAAAAAAAAAAAAAAAAAAAAAAAAAAAAAAAAACAACACCCCCAACACAACTCACCCAAACATCCAAAACCACCCGCCCAAGCTACCCACCCACCCGCCCGCCCGCCCACCCAAGCCCACCCAAGCCCAGCCCAGCCCAGCCCAGCCAGCCACCCACCACTCCCCCATTCTGTCTTTAAAGGCCTCAGGACACCAGCAAAAAAGGCGGCCCTTCAAGCATGCGTTTGGGTCAGCCAAACACCGCCCTTACCAGCGGACTCAAATTCTAAGCAGGGGACCAGGTAGAGGAACCCTGTTGGGCGTTGCACATAGCCCAATTCAAGCAAGGTTGCAAAATAGAGCCGGTCCGCTGCAAGGGGGGAAGGTTAGGTAGAGGCAAGGGGATGTCGTGGATCTGGGCCCATTCTTGAACAACTGCCCAAGTTCATAGTAGGCAGGGAAGCGCCAGTCAGAATGATGACGCCTGTAGGCTCTGGACCCACCCAAGAACGGCGGCTTTCCTGTTGGTCTCCCCTGAAATCCATGCAAAAACAGGCACCCTGAAGAACAAGGGGATCCAACACACAATGTTCGAGCAATTTTCGGAGCTTCTTACCTTATTTTGAAACAGGTGGAAGGTCAGAGAGGGGGGTTGTTTACTTTCTAGACCCACACAAACAAAATGGCACTCCAGATTCCCCAATGGCCATGGAAAGAAATCAACGCCACCCTTTGCTCCTCGCCCAAAGTCGGAAAAAGGGGTCGCAACCTGTAGGTCTGGTCAACAAAAACAGCTGGATGCGTGTCAAAGGGTGAACGCCCCAGAATGGGTGGGGGTTCCTTTTGTTCTTCCTTAAGGTCAACCCCAAACAGGGTACCGAGCCTCAAACAAAAACACAACTCACGTCATGAGTGGATGGCCCGAAAAAAAGTGGCCGAACTGTTCATTCCCACTAAAACGGTCCAAACCCAAGAAGCAGGAAGTGAGACAACCCCGTCTGAAGCCGAAATCAGCTTCCCTCTGCTTGGTGGCTTGAAGCCCGGTGGTTTAGTGGTTCGGGATGGTTAATCCAAACCACCAATCCAAACCACCAACCTGTCCGGTTGCCTGAAGAAGGAGGGCACCGAGCCTCAAACAAACAGAAGCCCATCTCAACCCTTAGGATCTTCCAAAAACCGAATCTCATCTAAAACCGTCGAGGGGCTGGCGCGCACGCGCTTGGAGATCTCGTCCACTCCCGGGAGGCGATGGATGCCGATATCGGCGACCGAGGCGCCGATGAGAGGCCCGTCCACACACACCCGCAAGGCCACCTGAGGAAAAACTCCGAGGGAAATTTGCCTTTGGCTCAAAATGCTCACTTCCCGAGTGGATAGCACACAAATCCAAACTTTTCACTTAACACTAAAATGGTCTTCGCAAAAAGTTTAAAGTTCGGGAACTTAGGGAGGGAGAACATGATGGGATTTTTGGACGATATGGGAGACGGGAACCCCCATTCCTTTCCCATCTAACTCAATCCAGGTCAGGGTAGGTCTTGGAATAGGCTTACACTGTGTTTTCTGGCGTTGTTTGAAAGTGTTGGAGGAGGTTGTTTGGAGGTGTGTCTTAAAGGTTGCAGGAAGATCGGGAGGGTACGGATGCTCATGCAGCAAGTGAGGCAACCACATCCAACTACAGCCTGCAAAAACTACAGGTTTGGTTGCGTCCCTTCGCTATCTTCTCCGGAATTGTCTTTCCATCGCCCGAGCAAAGGGAACTCAGCTCTGTTGACCCAAAGAAATGTTTCAGAGCTCTGAAGGTTGGGTGGTTGGGCGTCAAACACTGTGCCCGGTGCCCTTAAACAACTTGCAAACCCATTTCATTTTGCGGGGCGCGCCTTATAGAGGCTGTGGCGGCTTGCCTGCCTTGACGCATCCTCCGACTCCTTTGCTTTGAGGACTCGGGGGCCCAAGAGGGAGCAGTAGATGGAATCCATCAGGATGATGGCGATACCTGGGCCGCACCCCCGTTTCATGGATGGTTGGTAAAACCTATTTTGCGGGTATATTACAGCGGAATCATTCCAGGGTTTCTTAGGTGGTGCAGGATTTCGTCCATCCACAGAAGAAAGGGTTTTGCCAAGCAGGATGCCATGTCCCAAGTTTGCCCCACTAAAGAAGTCCCCCATGTCTTGTTGTGGGTCACCTGTGAATCAAGTATCTTGGCTGGAATTAGGACCCCAGCAAAAAGTATATTTTTTCGCCTGGTTAGTGGAAAACAAAGGGAACCCCGGAAAAACGAAACATCAAACAGGGGAACTACTTCTGGGGAACGTATGTGACTGTGGACATTGCGACTTTCTGATTTGAACCCGAGGTTTTGGCAGAAATCGACGGCGCCAAGTGGCCACAGGGGTCCCTTCGAGGACACCAGCAATGGTTCATAGGAGCTCCCTTTGAATCAACAGCCTTTCTTGTGACCTGAAAATGCGGACCCTTCCCCCAGAACACATTGAAAGCAAACACAGCTAGTCGTGGAACCCACTAGTTGTAACTGGATACTTACCCCAGTTTAAAACCAAGTAAACCAAGTGTAACCATGCTAAAAGAGACTCCAGGCAAGATACCTCAGACCTTTGCTGATCTAGGAAAACTCTTCCCACTTTGTTTTAAGGGATGCTATTTTGTAGGCTGAGGAAAACTTCAGATACATGCGAGGAGAAAAAACCGGACACCTGCCTGCAACTCCAAGCATCCCAGAGTATCCTCAAAGGACAATTTCATTCAAACGCGGGGCCCGGCCTTCAGATGACAACCGCCCCAGTTTTTGAGACCAAACCGAAATGACCCATTTTTGTCTCTGGCCTAAAACGGGCTCGTCTCAAACTAGGGGGTTCCTAAAAAGTGAACGGTTTTCCTTTTGGCCTCCAAAGAGAACACACACCCGAAAAGCCATATGTGGTAAAGCTGAACATCTACAGCTCATTTAGACCCAAGATCCAACCTGCAGCCATTGTTTGACTAGGGGAAACCCTTTCCCGGTTTCCCCTCCAGCAGCTCAAGAACAACTATCGGAAACCACGGTTGGCATCTCCATAGCAACCAGCTAACAAAATACCTGGATGGCTGAATCCTGTGTGCAATCCACCCTTTGACGGAGGATCATCATTTCAACCAACAAGTTCCAACTAGCATTCAAGATTGATGGATTCCCAAACCGACTCTCCTGCGTTTTGTCTTCTTTTGTCTTTCTCGCGTTTTGTAGGGGGGATGACGAATTTCCACCGACTCACCCAGCTTGTCTTTTGTGGGTGTCCAAGAGAACACCAACCAGGCGGCATCCCGGGGTGAGGGTGAAGAAGCCGATGTCGTAGCCCGCGGGCTTAAACACCGCGGCGGCCACGAAGTTGATGGAGGACCCCATCTTCGTCAAGGACCCTCCCGCCTGACGCTCCCAAGCTCCCCCCCCCCCCCCCGCCCCCCGCCCCACCAGGCGGTTTCCCAGGAATGCGAGTGAACCAACCAGAGGTAAAACACACACACACACACCTCCAAAAACAAGAGCAAAAGTACCATAGGTCAAAAAATACACAACAACACGGTAAACCCCGGTAAATCGGAGGCCTTCCTCGTTCCCTGACTTGCAAATATCTTTGGGCACCCGCCGTAGTAGAGCACCGAAACACAAACCGCATTTGGTAAGTTCACGTAGGATTCGCCACTGGTTCACTGGCAAACCATGTGCATTCTATTGTACATGTCAGTTCCCAAACAGAAACAGAGAGTCCGCAAAGGACGCACGGAAGAAACACATCCGCCAACAGGACCTCTTTCAGGTTCCATGTCTCTTTCTGGGAGGGTATGAAGCACATCCCAACTCTGTGCCAGATGTCTGCTTTTGGGAATGCATACCTCCCAAAGGAATATTGGACTTTCAGGGAGGGGTCCATATATTTCTAAATTCGATTTGCTCACAAACAGGTTTCCAGCAGGGAAGAAGCAACATGAACACGCCGCCATGTTCAGCCCCAATCTGGCTGATTGATAGGCGGGCTTCCATTTCAAGAAACGATGCAGGGCACTTTGAGGATTGCTAATCTAACAGGTGGAGCAATTCTGGGTTCCCGTCACCACGAAGCTTTCCTGAAATAGGTACCTCCCCCCACCCACTTTGCCATGGAATAACACCAATCTAGGACATGATGCTGCCAAACTGCAACTCAGGAAGCGAGCATCTGATTATCAGATGGCTGAAAACTGGCTTCGTCATGAAAAACGCCAAGTCACCCCAAGCAGCAAGCAAAGGCAAGCTAGTCGAGGCTTCAAGGGGCCCATTCGAGCGGGCTCGCTACCCAGCCAACCATTGGACAATGGACTGGACTGGCCCAAGAGGTGAGGAATAGGAAGACCAAAAAGTTCAAAGTCCAGAAACTCAGGAAGTGAGAATAGGCGGTTGGCCCAGTACTGAATCAAGCATACAGCATCCGAAATCAACCCATTGGATAGAACCCATTTGGAATGGTTTGATCGGCCCAGGGGTCCGTGCTTTTGGGCTTTTGAGCTGTTCGGGATCCTGGACTGATAGCGACTTGTTTCCTTCATAGTGAGAACCAGCAAGAAAAAACTGCGTGCAGCATCCAAAATCAAGCCATTAGTTAAAACCTATTTAGCTTGGCCCACATCTGGGGTACACAGAACATGCCATTTTCAGATGCTTCATGTTTAGCCTGCCTAAACATAATTTCGGATCGGATACCCTTTGCAACCGATCAAACAAAAAGCCGCCCGTTGTGGCTCGAACCGCCTGCGCCGCGATGCTGAGGGGCATCAACACGCTCTGAGAGGCCACCCCTTGGCGCAGGCAGAGGGACTGCAAAACTGGGATCATCATCACCACCTCAGCGGCGACTTCTTCGACCCCTCCTCTGGACCCGGCTTCAGGGCTCACATGTCCAACCCAGATATCCTACGGGCACTGGGCATAAACCAAGGGACATTTCAAGAAATCGGCTCGTGGTAAGTTGAGGAGTGACTCACCTTTTCCCAGTTGCAGCCAGTGACTTGGAAAAAGGAAGAAAAGACTTGGACGCGGGTTCGATCCTTTTCAGTCAAACGCCTTCCAAACGACCAGTAAAAAATGGCGCTGCTGAACAAGGGGGGTTCAAAGGGACCCCTTAAAAAGTCCTTTAACACACACACAAAACAGGTGCTCTCAAGACAACACAAGCACAAAACCAACTTGTTCAAAAGCTCAAGTGGGTCAATGAATCCTGCCCATTTTGGGGAGGGCCTATGCCAAGCAGTAAACGTGCAAATGACCTCAACCTTGGCAGAGCCAAGGCTCCCAAAGGTTACCTTGTTGCCATGTTGAGAGGGAGCTTTGGCAGGTCCCTTGAATTAGCGAGCTGCAGATTCGAGATTCACGTGCTCAGGGGATACTCAACCAAACATCTGGGTCGCAAGATGAGCATGTGTTCTTAACAGTCTGGGCTCATCAGCAGGGGTACATCATAACTAAACACCAAAAGAGGCAACAGGGTTCAAGCCCAGAAGGACATGTTTTACCGTAAACTCCTCACCCTCAGCTGACAATTGTAAGGCACCCCCGACTACTTGTCATTCACAAAAGAAAGGGCACAAGGGGGATTGGAGATTGAAAACGATAAAAAGGGCCCCCATCTCTTGGGGATGGTGTGAATCAGAGCTGGCAAGATTTGTCTAACCAACCAACCCTGACCCCCCTTGCAGGAAAACACGCGAGGTTGTTTAAGCAATAGTCGCTGAACTCACTTCCTGAGTGGGTTGGCCGAAAGTCCAGACTTTTTACCACTAAGCGGACAGGGAATGCTACTTTCGGTGCAAGGATTCCGGCAAATCCCCAAGGTCAAACTAATAACCCCATGGTTCTTTAATGGGGGGTGCCCCCTTTTAGTGGGGGGTTAAGACCACTTTTAGAGGGACCCCCCCCCCACCAAATAAGGACGGGTTGATTCATCCGGAGTGCAGCAGGGAATGAGAAATTGAATGACCCCTATATCCCATCGTTTACGGTTTGTCCTTTATTTGGAATCCCTTTTCGGGCTCAATCCCCCAACACCCGGATTCGTAGTCATTCCCTATCTATCGCGGCAAGGAACGCCCCCAACTGGTTTGGATTTGGATATGAACCCCCTTCTTGTGGAGACCCCCAACCATCAAACCACCAATCTCCAAAGCACCGACTCTCACTTCCTGAGCGGACCGGCCCGAAAAAACAGCTCCCAAACTTTCGATGCACCGCCAAAATGGTCTCAACCCAGAAAGTTTACAAAGGTCCGGGATCTCGTGAAGTGAGAGTTATCTAGTGGGAAGCTGAACTCGGGTAAGCTGCCCATTTTTTTCGGGACCCATGGCTTTCAAGACCGAGCTGCGATGGGGGTGTTGTTGAAGAGCCCCGACAAAGCCGCCACAGACCAGAACATCCGGAAGATCAGGTCTCTGGGGCCTGCAGGAAACGATCCATGGATCAGAAAAAAAGAAAAAAACCGGCGGCTTTGGTGGTTGGAGCTGATTGGCTCTTGCAACCTTTGGCGGTGGCTCGCTCAAAAAACTTCGGTAAATGGGTTGCCCTGGTAAGTGGAAACATGGACCAACACCTGCGCAACCCCGCCTGTAAGATTTTGAGTCACGCCCATTTGGGGAATCACCGGATGCGCGCTATTGCCAGAAGGGTGAGCACACAGCTGTTCCACACGTCCAAGCATCAACTTGTTTGGGGCGCAGTTGCTTAAGCCAAACAAACGCGGTGTCTGACCGGGACAACCCAGGTGGTTTTGTTCAATAGCTGTTTTGCATGTTGATAGCTGATTGAGGTTGCAGTTTTGACTTATAACTTGCTGCTTTTCAAGCCAGTGATGCTCAACCGGAACCTGTTCGCGGGTGGGGAGCTCCTTACTCGTTCCATTTGGCACTTACAGGCCACTAAATAAGCAAACCAGACACACACACACATACACTAGTGATCTTGGTCAACAGTCAACTGTAAACCCTTGTCCGTTTGTGCTTTCTATCAACATTGTGAGCCAAGTCTCAGATGGTACTAAAACGATCCCAGCCATGGTGTTCCTCCAAACCCAGCCGGGGACAGCTTGTGTTTAGGTTTCTCGTTTCCTGACAAGCTGAGTCGACTGGCCATACAAGATTGACATCAAACATACTGGATACAACCATTTTGCCAACTCAGGCAAGTTATATCGCAGGGTTTTTCTGCAAGCCCCCTTGGGAAATCAGATGGGGGACCATGAAAGTTAAAGGATCTTTTTCACATGTTTCGGGATCCCTTGCATTTCTCAAAAGGAATTCAACGGCAATCTATTTTACGTGACACTTGAGCATGTCTTTTTAGGGGACCCTCCCAAAAATGACATCCCAATTTTTGACCCCACGCCTTTTGCGCCTCCCAGCACCATGCTAATGAACCTCTCTGGCACACCCGTGTCACCCATGGCCCGCATGATGGGGAATAAGAGCGCCAGTGTAACTACCTGGCAGTGGAGTGTTTCCAAACGTGGGACTGGCTTTTGGTTGGTATTTAAGTTTGTTTCCGGGAACGTGCCCCCAATGCAGCTGAACACGTTTGAGCTTGGTGTCTCGCCACTTTCTTCGTGGACACCCTGCAAGTCACAGGCAGGGTGAATTCCAAGCAGGCCAATCAAATGCCACACCCTGCAAACATGGCAATGAAGTACAGGGTTCGCCTGATCCCTCGCTTCCAAACTGCCGTACATGGTTGATCACTTTTGGCACCCACCCGTTCCTAAAAGGAGCCAATATATCAAAGGTCCATTGAACACTACTGTAGAAGATCCCCCCAAACAAGACAACAACATACGGAGATGCTTCCATTGCCGACCAAAATATCAACACCCCCCTCCCCAACATATGAAGTCCGAACCAAGATAATATGAAGTCCGAACCAAGTCAAGCACAAACCCTTTTGGGTGATTTTGGGTTCGTCTGGATCGATTGGTGTCCTTGTTTGAGGCTGGGTGCCCTTTTTGCGGCTGCTTTAATACAGTCAGCGGCGGATGCGCCGATCGTACTTTCGCATGTCCAGCAGGCAAGTCGTACTGTAATGTTGACGCATACTGTCTGGGTGTCCTAACATTCTAGGGGTACCTTCCCCATTCTTTGCAGGGATCCGATTTTTTTCAGGAAGCCGTCAAAAGCCAGGGGGAAACAGAGCCGGTTTTGAAAAGAACGATGGTTGAAAAGAAGTGAAAAGGAATCAACCCTTAGAATTTTGGCAACCATGTTTAGTGGCCCCAAAAGGTTAAGCTTCGATTTCCGGAAAAATAATGGAAAAGGAATCAACCATAGGAAAATGCACTTTGCCTTGGAATCCCTTTCAAGCCACCAAGCAGGGCACCCTCAATGGCCGCAAGGGAGCTGTGTTTTTCGCGGCTACCTGTCTCAGCTTTTCAAGAGAACCCAAAGGGAAAACGAAAACGACGACCAACATCTACTCAAACTTTGCGTTTTTTCAGGAGCAAATCGAACCAGTTGAACACAAGCATGTCCTTTCTTTTGGTGGGTTCAGGGCAAAACTGTAAATCAATTCCTGAGTTGATCAATGTTGATCAGCCAAAACAAGCTCCCAGACTCTGTGTTTGCCACTGGAATGGTCCAAACCAAAAAGTCTACAGTATAGGAACTCGAAGTGAGAGGATCCATGTGGCTCCTTGAAAAAAACAAACAGACACACCTTCACCACCTCCATCGCCCGCTTTCTCGGATCGATCCGAAGATCCGAAGATCCGAAGATCCGAAGATCCGAAGATCCGAAGATCCGAGCATCCGAGTCGCGGCATCGGAGGCGCAGCCCTGGAATAGCTCCTTGCTCTTCAGGATATCCGCCTGTCCCAAGTCGGACCCTATCCCTGGGGTTGACGTGAGCCCATCTATTCAAAGGTATACTCGGTCAGGGTCCGAGCTTCTGAAGGCCCCGAAAAAGACTCGGAAGAGTTTCCCAAGGAGTCCGGTCGTTGAGACGACCCGTTTGGAAGCAGGTTATTGACATTTGGAGACACTTGGGATGGATTTCCTGCCATTTCCAGGAAGACTTGTAGAATGCACCACGAAGCCCAGCTACGAAGAAACCAGTGAAACAAACAAGCGCACAGTGAACAAACCATGACATGCCCCTAAGAAGGGTTGGAGAAGGGCTGAGACAATGGTGCACTTTAAAACGGCCTCCTATTTCAAGTACGATTTAGAAGCCACGACGGTTTAAATCACGATGGTACAAGCCAACGCAACATCCTGGTTACAACTATGTGGCGTTTTTTTCATAAACGCCAAACACTGTAGTAGCCACCGATGATGTGTTACATTCTCAGACTAACCAATCGTTTTGGACCCCACTAGGGTCCCCATATTTCCCCTTCTTTTCGGCGGTTTTAAACATCAGCTTTTAGGCCCAAAGGTGAGTGTTCCTTGGCGGGTGATGCTTCATGAAAAAAATCTCCGCCCCCACCCGGGTAAAACCTCGGGAGCCGCAGCCCACACGCGAAGTCGAGGCGCCAGGCAGGCCACCGCGGCCACGAACAAGAGCGTCAGCTCCACGGTGACGCCTTGTGGCACCAGCCTCGGCTGCGAAGTTCGCGTCTCGCGGGTTTGCTGCTGGGTTTTTTGTCCCTTGGGGGGTTGGGGGCTTGGGGAAAGGGGGTTTTCGGGGGTGTTGGGGAGTGTTGGGGAGTGTTGGGGAGTGTTGGGGAGTGTTGGGGAGTGTTGGGGGGGGGGGCCGTTAGGGGGGTTTGGGGGGTTTGAGGGTTGGGGGGGGCGGGGTGTTTCAAAAGGCGCTGGTGCGTTTCTTTTGGCGGGATTCATAAAGGGTTGTTTTCACACGGAGTTGGCCGAACCTGGCTTCATGGAAGGGAGGGGTCCTGCTTGCTTGGGGCTCCTATGTCCCCTTCAAGCATCACCCCGCAATGGCTCAAAGGATGATGTGTAAGAAAAGACACCTAAAGATGCACAGTTTGCCTACCAGAGTCCAAACAGCCCATCCTGCTCATCCAAAGGCGCTTTGGGCCACCCGACCGTCCGCGAACATGGAACCTCACAGAAAGGTCCTGGAAGACTTTTTGGTTCCATGTTAGTGGACCAGAGGCTAAACTTTTTTTGCCCGTAGAGGCTACACAAAATAGACCCGTGTCCGCCACACTGGGTGCTTTGTTTATTTTTTTTTTTGGGGGGGGGAATCCGTTTGTTTCCGATGGGCCCAAAAATCCACTTGATCCGTGATGGTTAGAAGATCGGAAGAAGGGGGTACATTCAGTACATTCCCATTAAATTTTCCTGTCACCACACAAGCCTTCCGAAGGAGGGTCATGTTTAGTTCCGACCAATGGGAGCGGGCCGAGCCTTCAAGAAGGTGTTTCGCCGGGAACCCTTGCCCTTGCCACTCTTTTGAGTGCTTTTCTCTCGGGGGGTACCCCGGTCGCGTTGGTTTCAATGAAGACCAACACTTGGCCCACGTCTGGGGCACACAGAAAATAATATGCTCAGATTCTGGATCATATTGGAAGGAGACACCACAAAAAGAAAGGCCGAAGCCCATTTTTTCGGAGCTCCTTTTGGCAATCGAGTTCCGCCTCAGGGCACCCCTGGGCTTCTGTATTTCCAGAGCTGGATGGACATCCAGCATTGCATGATTGGCCAAGCATAGGTGAACAAGTTACGAGTCAAATATCTAGGTGAACACAAGTCAAATGATTCAAGAAGTTGCTCAAATGGTTCTGCTTTGCTACTTTAAAAGAAGGTGATGTGTTCACGGGATTTGTCCGGCTGAAGCTTGCTTGCTTTTTTGCAGTTTCAGAACGGCGCTAGGGTGAATCCACATCTGTCCGGCAAGTGGAAAGGGGATGTGTGCCGTGGTCAATGACTCCTTTTATCTGGGTGGTCATGAGCCCCCAATTAAATGGTCGTCTAATTCCTTGAGGCTAGGACAGGCATCCCTCAAATGTCCTCGGCCAAGGACAGGAAGGGTCAGTTGGACCAAAGATGGCTGAAATGTTCAATGGAACCAGAAAAAACATTGTAGCCTCCCTTGTTTGGTTCCAACTGCAGTTGGGGGACACCTGTTGCATAATCCAAAAAAAACACGTGTTGGTCTCAGCCTTTGTTGGTGTTCCATTGACATCGGGTGACTCTTGGTCTCATTTTAGAGACATGGAGAAAGCCCGGTCCAGAAGGCCCCCAACCCATCCTCTTGAGAGGGGTTCGGGAGCAAACCCACGGCACAGAGATCCATTTACCCTCAACAAGCACCACGGGTGCAAACAAAAATCCAAACCACCAATTCAGAGCCCTGGCAAGGTGTCCCAAGAGGGTGCAAGCAGGTGGCGCTATGAAGAGCATCAGCAGGTTTGCCACTATGATCATACGTCCTGGGATCAAGTGGCTCCGACAAGGATCGCATTTTTCGTGTTTGTTTCCGGGCTGCCCAAACCGATCCCGAATAACTTTGAGTGTAACCCACCAAAGGGAAGGAATAAGCTGCAAGGCGGCCGAAAGTGAGAGAACCTTCCCAGCCCCTCCACTCCAGTGCCTTTTGACAGGACCCCATGGGTTAGAAGGTTAGCCACACGTCGAACCACAGGGAGCAATCCACAAATCGTCAAGGGTCAGACCGATTTTCCGACCCAACACATTTTGGAATTTTCAGGCAGCGCCCCCCCTCCCCCCTCCCTCGGATTCCGTCCCATTGATTAAGGTGGGCTGAAAGGGAACGCCCCTATGCATCCGGGTAAGCACGAACATTAGCAGGGTTGCTGCTTGTTTTGCTCGCCGTTTCACTTACTTGATTCATAAGTTGGCAACTCGCTCTGGAAAATGCTACGTGCCCCGTTAAAAAAGTAAGGGGGCAACATGTTATCTCACTTGTCAGCAAATGCTCCATACTGTGGAATCCTGTGGATTTCAACTCCACGGAACTTCCATGACCAGTGCAAGAAACTGCGGACCGTTTTTGTTAACCAACCTGAATGAAGGGATGCCTCAAAGACCTTGCAGAACTCATGATGGCGCCTTAGCTCTAAGGCACATTTGAATATCTCGGCTCCAGAACAGCTCGCAGTGCAGCTGCGGGGGTTTCTGTTTCAGGCCAACCTTTGAGCCATCACGACATCCCGTTGTTTCAATCCAAGACTTTGACCCTGAATTCCAGCCACCCGAGCGGCTACAAACTGAAAGTTTGACAGTCCAAAGTATGGTTTTGGGCACGACATGTTTGGTTCCAAGGACAACTCCACCTCAAACGTTGATTTGACAGCCCCCCGAAATGCCACCGTAATTTACAGGGAACTGAGATGGACAGGACGCCGCGGATCTTTTTTTCCGGGTCTCCTAGAACTGCTCCCCCAAACAAAAGCCACAAGAACACAAACCATCCCCCAAAGACCCCCGAGCCCAGCGGGCAGATAAGCCAGGAAAAGCAAAACAATCTAAGGGTTTTTCTACATACCCCGAAATCACATACCCAACAAAAGTTGATTATATAATGGTTGTATAGGGATTACACACTGTTGCCAAGGCGGCGTGCCCCATTTTCACTTGCACCTGCGTTTCTTGGCACCGGATTTCTCTTTTTACCACCCCCCGAAGCCCCTGGCTGCCCCAAAACTCTCCCGAAATCACCCGGTATCTCTCCCCCGAATTCCCCGCCAACCCACGGTTCCCCACCCAATCACCAAAAAGCTATTCCAAGACCCACAACCGCCCGCATACCTCAAAAAAAGAGCGCCCGGGAGATATTGACGAAATTTGGGGTATGTACTCTTCGGCCCCGGTGGGCTTTTGTTCGGGGTCCTCACCACCGGTCTTAAAATGAAATCTGGAGCATCACCTGGGCGTTGCTCTGCCCACACTGCTTTTGTCATCCCGAAGCTGAACACAAACCATCACGAGTAGTGCCTGGCATAGGCTAACAGTGACAGTGGCAAGCACACATTCCTACCCCGAGAAGGTGTTTCCATTCTTTTGGGGTATGTACTTTTGGGGTATGTACTTTTACTCTTAGAAACAAGGACTTGCTGGTTTGAATATTCAGCTTTCCTCTAATTGGTGGTTGGTGGTTTGGTTGTTAAGGACAGAAACTCATGTTCCTCTAAAGAACCAGGGGTCCAAATCCAAATCCACACCACTGGCAACCTCTAGCAAGACCGTTTTATGGTACCCAGGTTTCCCAAGGCTTCCGAAAACCCACGTAAAAGGACCACTCAATTACTACACCAATGAACAAGCTAAAACATGAACAAATGCAAGGCAAATCAATGAACACAGCAGCCCGCAAATACATCAATGAAAAACACATATGTGAAAACTATCTGCATATATGTTCTTCTCCCTCTCGCTCTCTATTGTCGACCTCTCCCCGAAAATCGGCGAAAGCCCCCGGCTTTCGCCCTTGCGCTTCGAAGGGTCCGAAGGTGGAGTCTTGGAGGCACGCCAGGTCCCATGTGCCCCAGAGCCACAAGCCCAGACTGACGACGCCCAGCGCGACCAGCAGACCCACCGAGGCCCACGGCAGGTCCTCCTGGCGATCGGACGGATGCTTGGGGCGAACCCGGGGTTATACCAGAAGTCAACAGGGGGGACCCCAAAATCGGATCCGCGTTTTAAGAGGAATCAGGTTCTTTTTGGGACCACCAAAAACGGGGTTTATGCTGATTTGCAAGGATGATATGGGATCCAAAACAGGGGTTGGAAGCGGGGGGGGGGGTGGCAAAAAAGTAGTTCAGGCAACTCGGGTACCTCTAGGGGAAGCCAAAGCAATCCCCACAAAGTGGTTGGTGGCTTATTGGGGAAAAACACCGACAAATGAAAAACACGTGCGACAGCAGGGGCAACTTCCGGGGTTTTTCACTTCCAGTCCGTACCTTTTGAAAGGGGGACCAAAGCGAGGCGGCTTAAACCACGACGTGCCCCCCAGCCGCGTGGTCCAACCCAAATGGCTATGTCTTCTTTTGCGGAACCCGCCCGGTTTAGGGGAAAAAATGAGCCATTTTTGTCGCGGGTCCCATTGTTTTTGCTCAGACATTTGTTTCAGGCTTGTTCCCTTTCTTTCATGCACCCCCAATTCCCCACCCCCCCCCCCCCCCAAATTCCCGCAACTCCCCGAGTTCCCCGAATTCTCCCCAAAGCTCCCGCCCCCCGACCCCCAAAAAAACAACAAACGAAAAACGGCAACGGGCAAGGGGGTTCTTTGAGCTGCTGCTCGATGCTCTGGAAGGGCATCACCAGACTCCCCCGGATCGCCGAGCTCCGCAAGTTCCGCTCCATCGCTCGGTGTCCGGCGCGCGGCGACGTCGCGGCGATCTCTCCGGCGCTTTTTGGGCCCCAGCCGAGGCTTCGAGGGAAAGGAAGAAGGCCTGCAAAGAGATCCCAGGAGTTGTGGAGACTTCATTGGTCAGGGCTTAGCATTGCCGGGTGGCGTCTTATAAGTGTACCTTTTGCACATAACCCACAGGGACACCAACATCGGTTTCCATGGGGTGGGTAAAGGAAGTTACTGGTTTTGTGGGCTAGTTGGCTATGGGTCTTTGTTTGAGCAAGCACACTTCCCCTTCCCCCCACTAACATGGCGCCTGTGGAAAGGTACCTGGAAGATAAGTTTCCTCAGGGAACCGCTCTCAGGTGCCATGGGAGGAAGGGTGAACATGGCCGGTGAGCATGAATCGTGCTATCCTCGGATCAAACCCCATACAATCCCGATGTGGGCCCGGCATTTTTCTGGTCACTGTACAGGGTTTTCGCGACCCGACCGTGAAAAACCAGTGACCCAAACAGGAACCCACCAAGCAAAAGGTAATTTGAGGGAGCCACTGAACAAGTGCGAATTTGGGGTGGTGGGGAGGGATGGAGAAAACTAGGTACCCATGCCCTCAAAGAAGGACACTCCCAATGCACAGGAACGCTGAAATCTCATTTACCCTCTGCACGAACCACAGGTTCGGCCAACATGGCCAAGCATCTTTTCTCATGCGAACCTGGGATTGAACCCCAAAGGCAAGCCGCGATGTAGCGAAAGCGCTTAGCCCGCCGCTTTCCCTTGGAGCCCACGGTGTGGGCGGGCTTGGAGGTAGAACACCTAGGAAGCTGGAAAACATGCCATGGATGGCTGAGCGCTTTGCGAGGCTCGGTCCCTCCTTTTTATCGATTGAAAGGGGAAGCCAAAAGGAAAACCACATATTATTCTTTGTTTTGGTGCGGGGGTCCCCTAGAAAAAGACATACCCCATCTTTTTGCCCATAAATGGAAAAGGAACAGAGACAAAGAGACCGGCAGCTCTGGTATGGAAAAGCCAAGCGCTACCCAGCACCCTCAACCGAAAGGGGGAAACACAAAACCTCCCTGAAACGAATGGAGAAAGGGAAGCCAAAACCCTTTTGGGACAAATGGGGAACATGGTGTTGCCGGGTGTTTGGAGCTGCCACTCTAGTTGTCTACTATGGGTGTCTACTTTGTGCTGGCGCCATTGATTTGAAATACATTGACATACACTTGGCGGGATGGTTCGGTTCTAAGCAGGGTGCCGAGAAAAGCATACGACTCGGCGCAAAATCGAAGTTAGAGCGTGCTACAACGTAGGTTATCTGGGAACGTAGCGAAATATCCCAAGGAAACCCCAAGGTATCACAAAGAGCCAAGACGACCCCACAATATCCCTAAGGCATTCCCCAACAACTCAAGGTAGCCTCAAGGCACTGGCAAAACCCTTCTTCCAGCATGATTAAGCTTCTGTGGCTCCATCCCGGGTCTCACTTATTTTGTGCCGACGTCAAAGGGGCATCCGGAAGAAAAGTGGCTTCCTCCCTGGCAACAAAAATCAAAGCACGCCGCACCTTGGACCACTTCCATTCGGACAATTGCAACCTGACTTGTTCAACAGATGCCTTCCAAAATAGGCTACTTCTTCCGGGACGTTGGTAACTGACCCCCCCAAAAAGACTATGAGGTCGTCTTCCAGGTTCAGGGCAGGTCAGGTTCTGGGGACTCGCCCCTTTACCTTGACCAAGACATGGACCAAGACAGAACGCACTTTCCGCGCAACCACTTCTTTTGGCCATTGGGAAGCTCCTTGGGTGGTCTCTCGACCTGCAGCCAGCGTGCGCATTCCAAGAGTCCCCATCTGCCAGAATGCGCTCCTCGACTCCTGAGCGGCGAACACTGATTTGGATCTGAATGAACTTCATTATGGGTATGTGAAATAGGGGTGGAACCTAAGACTTGCCGTTTTCCTCTTAGTTTCCCTTTGAACCCACCCCAACAAGGGTGCCCTCAAAAAAAAAGACGAGCCACACAGATTGATGGGCAGCTGAGGGAGGAATCTCGTGTTCTCAGGAGCTGGGACGGCTTGGGGGGAAGACCAAAAAATGAACCCAAGTTTCCTTCTATTTGCGGATGCATCCCCGGGAAAAGGTAAAAGCACCATCCAGTAGTGATAGATTCCCACTTTGGGCAGTAGCAACCCCATCAGTTCACGTTGATGAATCCGGGCCCATTCACTCGATCACATTCTTTGTGCGAAGGTGCTAGTGCTGAGGAGTTGCCAGTCTCAAGGTCCACATCCCAGTGAGAAAACAGAGGTCAACCCACTGAACCCGTCCAGCTCCACGTGCCTTGAGAAAGGCAATGCGGACATTCCGGAAATCGAAGCTTAACCTTTTGCGGCCACTAAGCAAGGAGGAACAATTCTAAGGGTTGATTCCTTTTCCATTCTCTTCAACCATAGTCCTTCTCAAAAACCCGTCGTTTTCACTGGGTGTCTTGAGGTCTGCTAGAAAGATTCAGATCCCTGGAAAGAATGGGGAAGGTACCCGGAAAATATAAAGACCAAGAGGTTCAAAGCTCGACTCGTCGACTCGCTTTGGGCAAGTGAGTTGTGTCCTTGGGACGGTTGAGCTTGCCAACAAAACAGGGCTCAAGGTATACTGACTTCTTTTTTCCGCACCCGAATCGAGTTGTTGCAACTCAAAGGTCATGATTCATGATTGAACCCTAGTCCACGGGCTTTAATCAAGCAACTTTTCCGTAAGCCCGACAAGGGAAGCTAGCACCATGGGACATAGAGTTGGGAACCCTGCAAGGAGATCCCCCCTCGTTTCTGCTAAATCTGACTTCTGAGGTGGCCTTGGGTGGATTTCAAAAACCAAACATATGTGCCATGGTCATGCCATCATGCCATGGTCAAAAGACACCTCTACTTGGGGTTGACAGGAATGGCTTTCCACCTGGCAAGGCTGCTCAATATCCATTCTCAGATAATGATTCCTAAAGGAGCCATGGCCCAATTGGCGAAAGCAACGGAGATGTCACCGTGGCACGTTGCCAGCGCCCTCAGTCTTCACGCCAATCCGAGAAGCCTGGGTTGTACAATCCTGGGTTCCGGGGCTGTTGGGATCTTGCGGGGACCCCAGAAAAAGGGGGTGCGTTTTATGAGGGAAGTCTGGGTACGTGCCGTTTTCCTCACCGTAAAATAGAGAGGGGAACTTTTCAGGATGTCACTTGAATAGACCCAAAAACACGCCAAACTTTTCTTGGCCTACTTTAGTCTTTCATTGCCGTGGGGTTCAACTGCCATGAAGCACCAAATACTAAACCACATCACCCACGCCATGAGTGAATACCAAACTCGCAGCGAATGCTCTCGTCGCGCGGGAGGCTCTCACCGGGCGCCGCGCTGGGCGGAGGCTCGCCGTTCACGGTGAGGATCTCGTCCCCTTCGAAGACGCCGTCCACCTGGCGTTCAACGCGGGTCAGCGTTCGAAGCTCCTTGATCGAGGGAAGCAAACAGAAGGGGACAACGGTGCCACAGGATTGGCCCACCCCGAACGACCCAGCCAAGCAAGCAAGCAAGCAACCACGTTCCCGCAACTCGAAGAGTCATCATACACTTGTCCTTTCTTCGAACTGTCCATCCCGTTTTCCACATCCGGCCAAACACTACAAGGGCAAGCATTTGGCAGGGTCAACGAATCTTTATTTTGAACCCAACGAGTTCCCTTTAAAATCAGTCCGTGGGCGACTCGAAGCGCGCCTGGGGCTTTGCCCCGGAGCTTTCAAAGCTCTTGGAGGAGAAGCAGGCCTCACCAAATCTCGCCGAGGCTCCCACTACTTGCAAGGGGAAGCAGAGAGAAGCCGTCGCTCAAGACAACCACAAAAACGAGGCGATGAACAAACAATTGCAAAAACAAGGGGACACAGAAAATTCACAGGGCAAAGAGAACACTAACAATTGGCAAAGGAAAAAAGGGACGCCCTCTAGAGATTGGTCGCACTTTTGGGCATGGGCCCTTGGATTCATTCCCACAAAGCTGGCTGTGAACAATGACTCAGGGTCCCTATAGTTCCCCATTTCAACATCGCCCACGTGATGCTCAAACCAGCCCTTTGGGACATGTAGGGAACCCTGTCGGAGGGAGTGTCACTAACCAATCCGAAAACCGAGGGATGTCAAATCATTTCTCCTCCCTTTGGTTTTGGGATTGGTGGTGACAAACAAGCAAGGGGGCTGAAAGGTTCAAACAAAAACCTTTTGGGGGAAAGGGTTGAACAAATACCCGCTTTCAACACCCATCCGGGCTAGCTCGGTCTACCTAAAAGGGTTGGACAAATCCCCAGGCTGGCCAGCTATGGGCTTTAAGTGGTCGATTTCATTTGGGTCATGGGATTCCGGTTAAACACGCAACCGTCCCTCCCACTGACATGGCATCTGACGGCCTTGCTGGATGCAATGTTAGTGGCGGGGAGGGTAGGCTGGCTTTCGTGGATGCCGGGTAGCCGGATAGAACGTTGGCAAACTTGGCCAGACTTAGGCTCCCAGCAAAAATAACACGCGAGGTTTTTGTTGGGCGAACAAACCACCTTCAACCATGGCTTCAAAGTGTTACGAACTGGATTTCCTCCCTCCAACGCCTTTTTGCGAGTTGGGATTGGCCACCCCGTTTTGGAGACAAGAGCCCAGGGCCCCAAAAGTGACAGGCAAACCCGGCCCCCCCGTTGCCAGAATTGGGGCGGTTAAACACATGTTTCCGGCTTGTTGCTCCCTCAGCTTGTGCCCCAAACTAGAATGATACTGTGGATGGACGAAATCGTAAACCGTGTAAGAATCCCTGGAACGATGATTCCCCTGTAAATACCAGCAAACAATGGTTTCTCATGGAGTCAAGGTGGTGCAGAAGTTTGTCCATCCACATGTGTAGATCTTGGCAACCAAGCTCAATACATCTTAGGAAGAATGACGCGCTTGAGGCCTCCAGTTTGGATTGGTGAGCTGGGAAGCCAACAGCCCCAAACCGGGGAGAAATCAATTTGCGTGCGAATCCTTACTCGCTTCACACCATGTCACACCGGAGACATTGCCAGGGAGACGAACCACGAACCACCCTCCAACCTAAGATGCCTCAAAGGATAAACGACTCAATATCCTTCCAGGTTTTACCGAAAGGACACCTATGGCTTCGATGTTTCCTGGATCTTGCCGTCTGTCCATCGCTTCCCATGTCTCAAAGGCTGAATGTATGTCGCCTGGTAGGAACGCCTGGGTTAACTAAGTCAGCTGTACGGGTCCCAAATGGCCAAAGGAACCCCCCAGAACACACAAAGACATTCGCATGCAGGAAAGCATGCTACTTGTCCACACATTTACAAAAAATGGGGGTGGGTGAGAACATTCAATGGCACAAAAAGGGCGTGCGTTTGGCTGCCGCGCATCTGACCTTTTTTGCCCATAGCTGCAGCGTGGTTCTTTCGCCCAGGTGAAAATGTCACCGCGCTCTCAGAAGCGCCGCTCCGGAAAAGCGCGGGACGGGTATCGGAAGTGTATCACTGGGTCCATGAAAGCGATATCCTCAATCGTACCCAAGTGGATTTGAGAGAAATCGCCCCAAAGTTGTACAGTGGATTTTTGGGAAACCCCCAAAGTTTAAGAAGGCATGCCTTCGCTCTGTAAGGGACCCGTCGCTTGCTCGGCCAAGAAGCCGGACCTTCACAACCCACCATGGTGGGTCGGGGCGAGTCGGTATCCATGCTATCAGACAAGTGAACACCCGCGGGGCCTTCCCCATTCTTTCCAGAGATCCTTTTTAAGTTCTGCATCACCAAACACCCACAGCTTTTGCAGCGTTGGTTTTCGAAAATAATTGAAGATAATGGGGAATCACCCCCAATTGCTGTTCGGTATTCAGTCGGACGATGCTAATCAAACAAGTCCCAGCCGAAAGGGACGTGATAGGTGAAGCCCAAACGTCACATAGGCGGGGCCTCCCTACGCTCTGAAGCTCTCAATGGATGGAACTAAATGCGAGTTTCCTGGTGCTGGGTGGGAAATTTAGTGAGTCACCCTAGTTTTGGTTGTTGTGTTTGTTGCGTAAACCACCATAGACACCACAAGGCTCACATTGAAAAGCGCTGTGCATACACCGCTGCATTCTGCAGGGCTAGATTCGCCTGCAGACTTAAAAGTTGAACCGATGCTTGAAGTCATTGAATTTTCGGCAGCTAGTCAATTTGTGCAAATGCAAGGAATTGCCAGGAATTCCTTGCATTTGCACAAATCGACTAGCTGCCGAAAATTCAATGACTTCAAGCATCGGTTCAATTGCTTGGTGTGCACGGAAACGACGGCTGCCGTTGCTGGCATTGAAGCCAACTGCTGGTCAAGCAGGTAGATGAGCTCGTCTGCTGGCAGCTGCTTGTTGAGCAAGTGAGGCAGGATCAAAGCTAAGGTATTTGCTTCGCCCAAGAGCTGCAAGTCCACCTTGTGCTTCTTCCGCTTGCATTTGTGCTGGCTGTGACAATAGCCACAAGCAGACCCTCTTGGACATGTGCCGTACTTCAAGAAAAGGCAAGGCTTGTGACACAGCTCTGGATGACCCAGGCTGCCCACTGATGAGTCTTGACTTGCAAAGGTTGACGAGTCACAGTGGATCGGAGAGCCAATCTGACTTGAAATCCTGGAACTCATCGCATGGGCGCAGTGGTGGTATACTAAGCGCTGACTTGAGCTATCAGACTGAGCACCATAAACCAAGATCGGCCGATCGGCCGGCGACAGGACTTGAAGGGTGTCTGGCGGCACTTTGGGGTTCCCAGTCGGAAAACGTCGGGAATGAATTTGTCATTGCAAGCCGCTCAGTACCACTGCTCATATGCCCCTTGCAGACCCCGTGCCAAGGTTGGCACCCCCCCCCCAGTTGAAAGGGCATACGTGTTTGGGACGGAAGCCCCTGCACGAGATTTCACATGAGACAAGGCTCAAGCCGCACATCATTCCACAAAATGAGGTGCGTCTCAAAAACAAGCCCTCTAAATCGGTGTTTGGTTTCTCTGAACCACCTAAAACGGAAACCAGCAAAAGCAAACATGTGTTTCTTTTAGGGTGTCCAGTGGTGTTTTTCTCCCCACAAAAAAAACACCCAAATCAAGCCTGAGACCTAGCCTTCGGCACTTCGGAGACCAAGAGCCGTCCGTCGTGACTCTTCAGGGAAAGGCCTGCGCATGCAAAGGGCAAATCATGCAACTTCCCGCTCCCACCAACTAACATGGAACCTGACGGGTAAATCGTGGGTAGACCCATTAATCAACCCCTGGTGTATGCAAGCTAACCAAACGGCACCACACACGAGCACGCGATAACTCTTTCATCCGAGCAGTGTGTTGGTGCCAGGGACTCATCTTCCCCTGTCAGATGACCAACGCTGGGTGGGCCCCATGGGCCACCCAACTCACAATTCTCAAAAACTGAAGAACGGGTGTGCAGACTGATAGCGCCCGCCCCTGAGCCGGGGCCCGTGGCACCCAGGCCACAGGGGGGTCTGCCACCAGGGGAAGTGAGTCACCCACCGGCTCCGGTCACGGGAGCATGGGTGGGCCCACGCTGAAGATCAAATGCATCTCCATTCAGGAGACGCGGGAGAAAAACAAACTCCTCACAGAGTTCCTGCTTGGGGACCCTTTGTAAAGGGTCGAACCCAGAGAAATCCGGGTGCGTCAGCTCATCAGCCCATTGATTGAATTCACGGGGCACATGGTTGGCCGCCAGCGAGCAGCCATGGGTGTGGAGCAGGAAGACCAGCTCCATCAGGATCGCCGCCGTGTAGGGCTTCTTGGATCCAAGGTTGAGCATCGCCATGACGTTGCCCTGATTGTCACTGCCCACCGGGAGTCGGACCCGGGAGGACAGAGGGCCTTGGTGCGTGAGGATCATGTTACAGAGGAAGAGCGTGCCCAGCATCTCCAGAGCTGCAATCCTCCGCTTTGGATCCCCATTCTTGAAAGCCCAAGGGTACTCCTCCACGTGGATCTGCTCATGGAACCAGTACACCTCCTTCTTGTCCGGTTCCACTGTGTTGGAGCACCAACCTCCCACAAATGCCAGTCCGTCGTCCGAGGCGCTAGCGTCGCTGCAACCCCACCAAGAGGACTTTGGCAAGTAGGGGGAGTACTGGACGAAAGGCGTGTTGAAGAGGAACCGCAGCATGAACGCCAGCATCCTGACCACCTTGGGGGGTTTCCCCACCGTGGTGGTGGCCATCTTCCAGGCCCAAAGTGGCTGGAGCATCGACTTCGCCAGCGGACATGCAGCCGTTGCCCATTGGATGCGGCCCAGGGCCTTCTCGATGTCCTTTGAGTGCATCGCCTGCCCTTCCACCATGGTCTGCAAAACCTCCATGACCAGGATGTGTTTGTTGGCTGCCATGAGAACCTGCGGGATGTTCGGGTGGACCACGAAGCCCAGCCATGTGTTAACCTCCGCCAAGTGCGTCTTCTTCCAGCTAAGTGGGGTGCCCAATGCCAGGAGTGTGGCCAGCAGCGCCACCGCCAAGTTCACTGCCCCCTCGCTTCGAAGCAGCCACAGGAAGTCGGAAGACGAAGTTCCAATCCACTTGAGGGAAAAGTGCGTAGAGGACCCTGAGCAGAAGGGCTGCCAGGCGTCCCCAGTAGGATTGGGCACTGGCCATGCCATATGTGCCTACCTTGTTCACCCACCATTCTTCCCCCAGTGAGGCCACCTGGAACCGCCAGTCCTTCCTGAGGACCTTCACTCTCCGGTGGGCCTTGGTGACGTCCGCCTTGAGCAGCACCCACCTGGTGCCCGGCTCCGGCCAGCCCTCAGGTGGAGGTTTGACAGTCCCCCCCTCGGGGCCAGAGGCACCCTGAGAGGGGGGTCCCTCCGCAGCTGCCGCATGTAGCCAATGGAGAGCTTGAACCCCATCCAGCACCGTCGGAGCCGTCGTCCTTTCCACCGTCTGGTTCCTGATGGTGTCATTGGCCCCTCCCACCGAGCCATCGTAGATCGTGCGGATCTTGTCCCCCTCGTCGATGCCCGCTAGGGGGCCGGGACAAAGGTCCTCGCTGTCGCAGCCACATCGCGATGCTGCCTCCTCCTTACTGAAGGGGCCCTCCACCATGCCCATGGGGACCTCCTCCAGAAATGTGCCCCGGATGAGATCGCTGAAGTGATCCGCCGAGGGGTAGTTGCCCCTGCCCGTTGGGTGGGGGAGTTCCTGGAACTCCGGCTCCTCCCCTTTCAGCTCCTTCTTGAGTGGCCAGATGCCCGGCGAGGTCAGGGGTGGGTCCGTGACCCCCAGTGGGACCCCTTGCTCCAGGTCCCGGGGAAACTGGTGGTCCTGAATGTTCAGCGCCACGCTGTGCAAGATGTCCAGGAAGTGGTCGGCGTGCCCCCCGGCGCCAGAATCTCCCTGATGTCCTCCAGCAGGTCCTCCGGGAAGGGATGTGACCCATCCCCCAACGAGAGCGACTCCTGGAGCTTGTCCCCCCACGGCGAAGTGAGGACACAGATCTTGGCCCCCAGCGCTGCTGCTTTGGACAGCGGTCGGGCCCACGGGGCCAACCGTCCCAATGAGGGCTTTCCTCCACCGTCTCTTAAGGGACGCTGCTTGAAAGCCATCTGGAGGTACATGACCTTGTCGGAGATATTGGGGTCGTGCGTGATCGGCAGGATGGTGGGCCGATCCGAGATCTCCATGCCCTGGTGTGCCCATGGATCCAGGGGAAGAGTTCCCCCCCCAAGTTCATCCACCTCGCCAGTCCTCTGTGTCGATGTCCCCGCCTCTGGATTATCCGAGGCCGAGACCGGAAGTGAGCCCAAGGTCAGACCTGCCAACGCTTGTTGGCCCGCCTTCAGCCTTCGGGACTGGCGCTTGTTGTCCCCCGGCGTGCTGGGAGAAGGTTCCCTTGGACGCCTCGGGGGGGTCGTTGGGTTAGCCTGGGGCGTCATGCCTCCCGGCCTCAGCGCCTCCAGGACGGGTCCCGCTCGGCAAAGGATGGCCGCTGCGAGACCCTGCTCCAGGTACCGGCTGAGGTCACTGGAGTTGAGCTTTTCTCCCCTGGGGTGAGACCCGTGGTTGCAACGCAGGTCATGCCAATGGTGGAGAGGAAGGTCCGTTGACAACGCCGTGGACTTCACAACCACCTGGCCCAGGCGGCACTCATCGAACTTGATGAGGGAGTGGTGGAGTGCACTCGCCCATTGAACGTAGGCCCGCGTGACCCAGATCGATGAGCACCTCGCTGCGCTCGGGCTCTTGCTGCACTCCATCGGGTCCATCGGGTGCTCCAGGAAGGAGGAGCCAACCTGCGGGACCGTTAGCTGACCTAGCCCCTTGTAGGCCAGCGAGGTCAGGTACATCTGTCGGAGCATGAGCACGCTGTCATTGTCCGTGTCCTCCCTGACCCGGGGCTCCAAGTCCTCTAAGCCCCACAAGGTCTGCTCTGCTCTGCCCCTCACCGGCGGCGGGCCACCCGGTTTGGGGAACCACCTGAGGATGCTCCACGTCCTGCAGTTGGGGCCACCTCCCACCAATGCGACCTTACCCGCCATGGCCATGGAGCACATCGTCGAGTAAGGCTCCTCGCCCAGCATGTCCTGGCCCAGGTCTCCACCCTTTCTCCTGATATCCACCGCCCAAATGTACTCCGAGAAGGCCGGGTTGTAGGCATGGAGGTAGGCATCCAGGGCCCCCGCATCATCCTTCCCAGCGTACAGCAGGATGAGGGACGGCTTTGAAGACCCCGGCACTGGCCTCGGCGTCCACCCCAGTCTGAGCCTCAGTCTTTCCGGGATGTCCTGCATCCATGGGAAGGTGGGGCTTGCCCCCCCTAGGGATTCCGTGCTACCTTTGTCTGATCCCCCCGTCATCTGTCCCCGGGCTTGATGCTTGCCCTGGCGGTTCTTCCCGCCCTTGGAGCGCCCCTTGCTGGGCGGATCCTCACCTCTGGGTCTCTCTGGGGGGTCTACCCACTGCCTCGGTGGGTGCGGGGGAAAGGGATGCTTCCGCCCTTCTGGAGTGCCCTGGCTGGGACCGCTCCTCTTCTTCGGTGGAGGGGCTTCCGGGGCCGGTGGCACCCTGGAGAAGTCCCCTCCCATCTGAGGCCGTCCTGGCCTCCCCCGCTCTGTCTGCCATCCGCTGTGGCTCTGGTGGGGCTGGCTCTCCCCCTCTGTGTGCACTCTCGCACTGGTGGCCTGTGATCCCAACTGAGACCGGGAAGCCACGGGGCCTATGGCACCCTGGGTGGCCTCCTGTCACTTGGGAAGGTGAGGGCATGCCTGTGGAGCATGCTTCGATGGGGGGGCATCACACACCCACCCATCCTTCCTGACCGGGCAGTTGTGGGAACGGCCGCACGATCCCGAACACTTGTTGTGGAGGTGATGATCTCTGCAGTACGCCACCCCTTTGGGATTCTTGAAAGCCCAGTGGTCCGGCCATGGAACCGAGGGGGAGTTGGGGGACTTCCCTTTGCCGCCCTTGCCCTTTGGCTTGGACCTGGTCGGCCCCGAGGGCCATGCGCCTTTCCCCCCCTTCTTCGGCTTCTCCCACTGAGTCTGCCACACCTTAGGTGCCTTGCCCTTGTTCTTCCCCTTCTCCGGCGCCCTGTTGAGGTGCTCATAGACCTCCCGTTGCCAGAAGAGGAAGTCGCCCCTGATATTCTTGAGGGCATCGGAGAGGGTGGTGCCCTGGTGCACCATCTCGTGGATCTTCCTCCACGCATTGCGCTCTGCAAACAGCAAGGTGGTGTCACTCGGGGGAGGCCTTCTGCCAGCGATGTCCTCCCCATAGAACCAGTCATACCAATCGTCCAGCTCCGCCTTGGTGACTTTCAGGTTGCCAAGCTGTGGCAGTGCCGCCGTGCACATCAGGAGCGTCGTCCTGAAAGTTTGGTGCAAACGTTCCAACTGGCGCCGGGATGTGGGGTGGCTCCTCACCTCTTCTTCATCCTCCCTGTCCCAGCCGTCCACCGTGATCTTCTTGTGGGTGGATGAGGGGCGTTCCCCTTCTTCCGGGAGCGCGCTCACGATGTGTTTGGCCGGGATGTAGCCCAGCTCACCCTTGGCAATCAAGCGCCACTGCTTCTTGAGGTAGCCATCACTCCCTTGGAATTCCAACCTCGGCTTCGGGGTCCCATGAATGGCCACGTAAGCATCCTCCAGCTGGCGCCTGTCACACAGGACCTCCAGGGGCGCCTTT